CGAATGTGGGACAGGCACAGAGCACTTCTGTTATCTTGACCCACATATCGTGACCGCGGTCGCGGCCGGACCGCGCCGCTATTATAGCGGAACACCTTAATTGCCCACCGATGGAAAATATCGAGAAATTCGAAAGGGCGACAGTGAGAACACACCACCAAAAAAGTACCAAATTAAGATCATCCAATACAAACTTGTAAATAAAACCAAACATGACGAAAGCACATAAACTGTGTAACAATATTCCTAGGACATAAAAATGAAGAGAAACAATAAATTGCAAGAATCCAATTTAAGTGAACGAATGGTTAAATCAAGATCGTAAGTGAATGAGAAAGAGCGAATGTTTTTCCTCGTGACAGTATTATCAAAACAGAACCTTGACCCAGAATGTGGTACGTAACAAGAGGAAAAGGACGTTACAAAGATGCTGTCAGGATCGCATCAAGTGATGTCACATCGTCTGAGCATTTAAGACTGGTTTCATTTTATAAATATAAATATTTGAGCGTCCTTCACAATTTTATTTTCGTCCATGTGTTAGATGACCGGATTTTAGGTTCGTTTATGAGCAAACGTTTGTTTGCTACCTAAATATTAGTCACAAAAGAAATAATAAATCTCTCAAGTAGGTATTTTTAGATTCCAAATAATTCCTTATGTAATTGAATAACATATGAAATCATTTTCAAGTATTACTAGTTCAAAACACTGTTGATATCCATAAAAGCAGTAATTATCTAGTCACAATTATTATTTACGTGTATGGAAATCATTTTACACGTTATTATTCCGACTCCAATTAAAACAAGGTCATCAAGTAATGGAGTAATTCGATTACGCGTTAACTCGAAAATTGACTTGGTAACATGGACCTTTCTCTTCAATGTAGGTTAAATAAAGTACTCACTCGCGTTGTGGCACCGAACAGCTTTGATTAAGGACAATATGTACTGAGAAGGACGAACGTTCACTTCAAGGACCAACCTTCATGTGAATGCATTTAATTAGGTTTCATGCTATATTAAAATGCTTAAATTGATATTTCTGATAAACAAATCGATACGAAACTGATAAGGCAGGGTCAGCCAGGAATTTAAAGCCATTTGGTATGTCATGGTCATATGAAATTATGTCAGCTGTGCACTCAAAATGATGATTCAAAGTGGTGTTGTGGGTTGTTATTGTAGTGTAGATACACCCAATATTAAAAGCATATTTAATGAGTGACCATGGGGGAGTTATGACTATAATACAACACGAGTCATGGTGCAATATAGAATTACATGAAACAGATCCCAGGAAAGTGTGAGCACTATTTTATTAGTCATTGGTGTGGGTGTTTTATTGCATTTCCCCATAAGCATTGCACTCATCTACGTGATGAACGGGACTTATTAAGCACAGTACTGCACTAGTTACTGCAATTATCTGGCATTTTCCAGACTGAGGTCATTCGAATCTCGAGATAAACAGTGCGTCATTCTTATATAGAACGCGTCACATAGATATTATTTCCTTTAGTAAATAACATATATTTCCTTTAGCGACTGTTGCGATACGTCCTTTAATTCTCAAAGGTTAGTCGTCGTCATACACTGATTTCCCTTTTCATTGAATACAGCAATCGTCATATTAATTTCAAGTGTTGAAGGAGCGTGAGATACCGCCGCCGCAACTGTTCGCTTATCACGCGTGATAATGTGGCATTATATAGCCGGCCGCATTGTAAACAACTCGATTGGTTACAAAATAAACAGAAAACGGCTTTCAATTACGGTTTCGGTTGGCGAATTCAGGTCCGGAGGGTCCAAAGGGTTGTATTCGCCGAAATCGACACCTTACTAATTTGTTTGTAATACAGGCGTGCCTTTTTGATCGAGTAACCGATGTGCTTTATCATCGATCTGCATGATATGTACATATTTTATACCATCGTATTGTGTAACATGATTGCATGTACAGTATCATCAATGTTTACTTATCACCTTGATCTCAAGACAATACTACTAACTCATGATTACATTTTTGAGACAGATATCGTAAAAATCTTTTCCATTACAAATCATTGTTTTTTACGACTTTTGTGTCAATCTCTATTTCCGTCAGTGACTTTCAAAGCTTTTAATCGTTCACTGTTGTGGTGGCTGATAGTGGCATGAAGCACCAACCGCTCTCGTTGGAACCTTGATACCGTGTGAGTGTGATAACTTATCAGCTGATAGATAACGACCCCCGCGACATAACAAAACTTACAGTTCGTTTCTAATTTACACAATATTTTCAGTTTTCAACATTTAAAACCCGTTTTAACTTGTATTAAATCATTTCATTTTTGTTTAAATGTAATTTACTGTATAAATATTTGTTAAATAATATGTCAAAAATATATTCTGGACGAAGCGAATCTGTCTGAACTCATTTACATGCTCAAAGCGTGCGTAACGTTGTAACGTAAGTAGTTAATACATAATTAAGATACAATAAACCGGATTTAGCAACGCCGGACTGACTGCTCCAGTGTGCGCGAGCGCAGTTTACTTTTAAATACTTCAGTGACCCGCCAGACATAAATGAAGCGTTAAATAACTTGTAAGGTCACCTTTATGGAATTCTACAGCTACATTATTGAATTTGATTCTAAGTTTAAATTCACTCAGAAATTTAGTTGAGGTAGATGTAACGACCTTGAGTTTTCCAAGAACTCTGGATTTGTTCTTTTTCGAAACATAATAACGAGATTATGTGGAATTTCTTGTTGTTTTTGGTGTTTCAGAGGGAAATCCAAGAAGTGTATGATTCGGTTTCATCTCATTAACGTATCGGGAAATTTTTCAATAAGACGAAAGTGAAAATTTAATTAATATGTAAAGAACAACCTTGGTAATAAATTTATGATGGCCGTAAGCATCATACAAAAATTTATGGCGTATAAAAAGCAGAAAAGCAGACATTCATTATAACAGTGTTGTAATTAGGTTGATTACATTAAGGAAGTTTAGTGGTAGAGCCACTTTTTAGACGTAAAATAAGGAGATATTTAGCTACCTACTTTTATTGCCACTGAAGCGGTGGCAACTTGTTTTAATATAGTTAAACAGTTAATTACACGGTTGATGGAGACAGATCAGTATCAATTAGACACGATTTATGTACAGTGAGCTTTGGCTTCCTCACTACGTGAAAATAGATACGTAAAATTATGTGACCTAGAACTGTGCAGAATCATAACAGTGAAGGAATGAGCACATTCAGGATAAAATTGAAGTCGTGCTCTGTATGCACAGAGGGTGATAAGGGGTGTGGGGCAGAGCCGCGGTCCGTATGTCGCGTTCGTCAAATGCTATGAATAACTTAGAGTAGAATCTCGACACTCAATGGACATCGCCGTCATGCATGTACGAGAAATTCAGAGACAATAGCGCCTTGTAAAATTCCCCTAGAAAATTAACTGACTATTTTCTATTTCGACACCAAAAAGTTAATGAACATTCATGTGACCGCACTGTGTCAAAATATTATTCATAGATATTTTTGCGCAATGAACCAAACGATTAACGCCAGTTCAGTCTTGTACGTCAAGGGTAAACAATGGTCAAGATAAAGTCATAGCTACGACATACTGCTTATGACATTACAAGAATTTATAAGACAAAGCGTAAACAGGTAAGAACAAAGACGTCCATCAACTACCTAGATAATCACAGTGCACGCAACTGGTGCCTGGGCGGAGGCCCGCTTATGGGAAAGTTACAATCATTACGACCATTCATAAACGGTTGAATGAGCGCAAGACGCCTGCGCAGCCGGCGAGCGCGCGCGCACCGACCCCGCGAGTCCCGCGACATCTGTGAAGTTGCCGTGCAGATGCCGCGCATACCTCAACATAAACTAAACAGACGTAGAGCCAGAACACATTTACTGCTTGATAATCAGTGATAAATTTCAAACTTGCATGGTATCAATTTGATTGCAAGCATCTTTTTGCGCAATGTTCCTGGTAAAGTGTATTGAACCCAAACGCGACACCTAGTAGCACCCGATGCGTCACCGCCTATGTGGACGAGAAAAAATTCCACGCGACAAAAGCAGTCATGTCCGCAAACGGCGCATAAATAATTAGACAATAAGCAGGCAGGGCAAGAAATCGGTAATTTGTATCGCGTCGAGATAGGCGGAGCGCAGAGGGAGACGGGTGCAGGCAGGCGCGCGCCGCCGCGGAGATATGGCAACGCGTCAGGTGGAAGTGGCGCCCGTGCTGTGCTCGCTTCTCGCCGAGGACGACCGACCGCCCCCGGCGCCCCGCACGCCCGCCCCTCACCCGCTAATCCTCACCCGAACACAATCTGATAAAATTCGCGCCAGCTATGAACATTACGCAAAGCTACTCAACACTACAACACTGCGATAATGAATGACCCGACAGTTTTTTTTAACACGCACATAAACATTACTCCTCATGTCTCTACATTGTGTGGTATTTTCGAACGGTACGAAGCGAAAAATGTATTAAGAAAGTTATTTCCTCAACCTGGCGAAACTAGTCTCGCGAACGCATTACGGTCCGCGTTACGGCCAGGTGAATTCAAAATGACCTCTATGGGCCGGTGGCTTCTTGTGGCCTCGCTCGCCGAATGCGTTGACATTTTGTGGGTTAGCAACATGACATGACTCTGAGTTGTGGCGAGAACGATGCCAGGATGACTAACGGGCAACCGTCATTAGCCGCCTAAACGTAAATTGTCCTATACAAAAACTTTAACGCAATAGATCGATTCGGCAGTTGTAGCGCAATAAGGTGAATTTTGTATATCAGCGTCCACTAACGATAATCACATCACATCGTCTACTTAGGACGTCGTGGACTCATTATTTAGGAAATACTAAACATGCTACGGTCACCTGAGAACAATAGCGCACGATACTAACACCACGTAAATCGTAATGATTTCGAAAGAAAAGTACATACGAGTTCTTTCATCAATGTAAAAGTGACTTACCAAGGCGAAGAAGTTCGTGTGGCAATCCTCGAGACTTGCACCGTTTGTTTGGTGATTTTGATGCGTCATGGTAGTCCGGGGCACTTCATTTTCATTTCACAACACTAATAACGGGTTCAATCTTAAAGAAACCACTCAAAATCTTAAAATCATCACCGACATTTAGTGAAGTTTTCACCTTTCAATGGCGACTGGAAAATGGCGGATAGGAAACAACAACCCAAGCCGACAGTGCTGCCACAGGCGGTTGAAGACAGAAACTAATTTCGTCTAGAAACGTAGATGCGTTCCGTTCAACTTATTGCTGTCTTCATTAAATTATCGATAATGATATTTTAGTTATATTTGTCTGTTATTAATTATTATATAAAAATAATTTACAATGATAATTTTAAAAGCTTTAAATGAAATTGAATGGTTATAACTGAAAATTTTCCCATTCATAACTTCAAGATTTAGGCAAACAGATTTTTATTTTTAGATAATAAGGAAAAAAACAAGTATTTCTTTTTATTTCTAAATAATTGATAAACACAATTAATTATTTCTTCTTAAATAAAAATTGAATCATCTGATACTGCATCATAGACATGCGTGTGAAGAATTTTTGTGGATCTGTCAAACTGGAGTCGGGTTATAATAATAGCAGTTTTAATAATTTATTTTCTCAATTATTTTAGTTAATAATACCTTAAAAACCTCTTATCTACCAAGTTAACCGTAATTTAAAATAAAATGCTTCGAAATGTGTTATGTACGGTACCACGGAAACATTTACAGGTTATTTTTTGCACACCTTACTTCTAATCTAGGAAATAAATCGAAGTTTTAGTTATTCTAACACAATTATATTAATTTACAGGTTATACCAGTCAGATATAAGCAGAAAAAATTCCCAAAAGTGGACAAAAAATTTCAAGCAGCTGCAGAATCATTAGCTGCCAGAGGGTCAGTAAGCCAATATAGTATTTTGCTATTGTGTCTATTATAGCTAATTATTATTTATGTATTATAGCAGTACCTGTTAGTAACACAATACTTATATACACCTATTCAATAAAGTGCGTTAGTGTCCGTAACTTACTTTTTATACAGGCTAAATTAATTTATATCTATGTAAATTAATAACAGTATACTAGCACAAGAATTTTTTTTTTTTAATAAATTGTTAATAATTTTTCCGATAAATAACATATGAATAGCCTTATACAGATTTGAATCAAGTTTTATAAATAATTATTTTTTAAAGCTTTTTCTCATAAGTTCTTCACATTAAACTGTCAAACACCAAGCGGTCACTGGTGACCGCAACCTATTGTTCTTTAACTCGTCGAGTACCGGTTTTATAGACACAATTAAAGAACAATAGGTCGCGGTCACCGGTGACCGCTTGGTGTTTGACAGTTTAATTGTGTCTATAAATACGGTACTCGACGAGTTAAACATAATTATAATTGTGAATACTTTTCTAGTTTCCTGAGACCAACAAAACCATGGGATCCACCGGCAAATATTGAAGAGACAATCTCTAAAATCTGTTCATCTAAAGGTCTGAACACTGATGCTGAGTTTGATGCACTGGAAACTAAGTTTGCGGTACTCAAGGCATGTTATGAGGAGACCGGATATGATGTGCCGAATTCTTTACTGCATACCATTGGGAGTGTTGGTATGTATGACAAATTCTGTCCTGTTAAAACTTCATTGTGTAATCCAATGCAATTATCCTGTACTTTTATACACATAGTGCATCCACCGTTTTTTGAGTTTTTATTGGTTCTAAAACTCTTATATAAGCTACAACTCGAGACACAACTAAAACATAAAAATAGTTTTATATGCAATGAAATGAAATCTTTATTTATGATACATATTATGTATACATTTGGTTGATCATTTTTAAATGAAGGTATCTATAATCAGCCTCTTTTAGGCATACAAATAGCAGTATTAATATATCTTTCATTTTCACTGAAACTCTATTCCGTAATTACTCTATTTATTTATTATTTTGCAGCTGATCTAAAACAATTTTATAAGACTCCTGTGGATACGGCAACACCATTTGAGGCTCTGAAGAGAATGGAACTGCCCAAAAACTTGCATGTACAGCCAGACTATGTCAGATTCCATCCAGGTAAAAACATTTGCATTTTACTATTTATTTTAGAAGCTAATAATATCAATAGTATATATAAAGTTTTAATAACTTTAATACCGTTTGTTGTAAAACAAACTTTAATACCATACTTTTGTTGTGAAACAAACTTTTAGTGTTGATTCTATTAAATTTTTATAAATCCTATATTAAGATTTTATATATTGCACTAATCAAAAAGTACTGTAGATTACATAATTGTGTCTTATTAAAGTTACTAGTGACTCTGGCTCGGTTTCATCCGCTCCGCTCAGCTCCTATTGATCGTAAAGTGATGCTTTGTAGCCTATACCCTTTCTCGATAAATAGACTATTTAACACAAACAAAATTATTCAATTCAGACCAGTAGTTCTGGTGATTGGTGCATTCAAAGATACAAATTTACAAACTCTAGCTTTATATATTTAGTAATAATAAGTAAAAAGATTATAACATCTCTGCATCTGTCTAATACCAACATAAATATTATTGTTTCAGATAAAGATACTATGTTTGATGGTGTATCGGCATTCCCCAAGAGTTCCACCATTGTATCTGGATTGAAGACGAGGAAGAAGTACGAAGGCTACTCTGCCAAGAGATCGTGGCCCTAGTGTGTTTACGTAGTTTAAATAAAATATTGTATAGTATAGTTGATAAATAAAAGTGTTAAACTTATGTGCATATGTTTTATTTTCCCATTTATCAGATGTTAGATAAACAGTAAAATGATAGACAGATTCATCACATTCCTGGACACAGTTTTGGTTGAGTAATCACAGGCTTATTATCTTGAACTCGATTCACAGGTGGGGGGGCATTAAAAAAAAGTTCTGGACCTTTCAGGTTGTCATCTTCTCATTAATAACATGAAGCTTGAAACTGCTTAAAAAATAAGAAATTAAGAATATTGTTTGTACCAAATGTACCTATGTAATGTAAAATTCATTAACTCTATGGAATTGAGGTATCGTACTTCTGAGGATTTCAAAATCGATCCCATAAAAAGTTGACCAATCTGTTATCAGTTTTTAAAAACCTTACTACCTTCCTTAGTTGCCAGGGTGTATAGAATCGCCTTTGACTGCCCATGGGCAGAACTAGGAAGGAAGTGAACTCAAAGTTTGTCTTGCTATGTAGATACTAAAAAAAAATTATTACTGTTTTTCAATTTATTATATCTAATCGAACCCTCTACTCGAAGCACAGTCCAAATCTGAGCAGATGTGTATTGTGTAGTGACTGTTGTTTAGTGTTTTTATAATAGCACACTCTTTCTAACACCAGGAGATTTCCATTGATGATTCGCTTGTTCATCTCCACTTCAAGCAATATGGAGCTCTATTATTAGGTAACCCGTAGTCGTATTATTATAGGTTTATATCCTTCTCAATTTTGACTGGGTTTGTATTTTGTTTTGCTGAGAAATGGCTGAGAATGCCAAAAAAGTTATAAATTCATCAGCCTTTTCTCTCTTCAGGTTGATGTGGGCGCCAAAGACCAAAGTTCAAAATGTTAATTTCTTTATGAGTCACTTTCTCTTTCTTTTTTGAAAACATGTTTTTGAACGAAGTCAAATTGACAGATGAGATGAAAGTTGATTTCAATATATTTTGAGGTTATAGACGAGGCGAATCTCGATCTAATATGAACGTATTTACTCAACTAATTAGCGAATGATTAAACGAAATGATTTAACCGTTCTAAAATGAACGCCCTATTGATATTATTTTTGATATTTGTAGTTATTTACTCTTGTGTTTCATGGTAAGTAGTGAATTTTGCGATGACACCGCTATTTTTATTATTGTTTTGTGTTTTGTTTACTATTCTGTAACATTGGATATTTTTAGGCTCTTACCCACGTTACTGGCATGGCTGTTCATGAGAAAATACCATATAAAGTTGAAAATTGGTAGAATCGCTGTGCCAAAGTTGATACTCAAAGATGTAAGCCTATCCAAAGATAGGTATTCCATAGTAAGTTGTCACTTATTTACATTTCTAGGTCCGTAAGTAGTATTAGTTTTGAGATGTGTTGGCTGTCCGTGCCAGATGTTCCAAAGCCATTATAGGTAAATACATTTTAAATATATTTATAATGACATATTGACACTACAATTTAAATCAGAAACACGTGAGTCTAACAAGATATAATAGACAGCAATTTAAAACAGAGTCTAATAAGATTATAACAGTACAAGTCTTCAATATCCCAGTAATACAAAGAATAACTTGTACTCAAATAAAGGTGAAGTAAGTAATCAACATGAAACACCTACATATAAATAGCATCATCATCATAAAATTTTATTACTACGTAAACAATACACACCTACACACACACACACTCAGACACACATATAATATAATCAATTAAACTACTGGTATTATTTGCAGCATATAGACGAAATCTCATTTCAAAGTAGTTGTTTCAACTCTGATATAAACAAACTAGTATCAGTTGTCATCCGAGGAGTGGAAGTAACTAACAATGTGGAGGAAAAAAAGAATGTTGTTGTGGAGACGATCCTTAAACCGTTACTGTCGAAGCAGAACTCTGCCGCAAGATCCGATGGTTACGAGGAGATGGCGGACATTGATAATCTTGAGAGTAACCTGAATAGGTTAGCTAATAAGAAGCTATTGGATTTTAGGGACAAGAAACTACCACCGAGTTTAATTATGTTTGCTCAGGTATGACTTAGAAACACTAATATTATAAATGTGAATGTTTATTTGTTCGGATGTTTGGATGCTTGTCCGTCAGTCACGCTAAAACGAATGAATTTGATGATATTTGGGATACAGAGAATGCCCCCATGAGATAAAACAGGGATCGCAGGCAACAGCTCGTAGTACATAATATATCTTTTTATGAAATTAATATTTACTCTCCCAATGTAAAGACTTAAGATTATTTAGTTTGAGTCCCTAATTTCTAAGATAATTATATTAGAAACTTATAAGACAGTTAAGACACCCTCAATATGTATACAATATTGGATAATGTATCAGAGCGATTATAAAACATATTTTTGTAAAGAGTAACAAATGGAGTTTCTTTCTCATGCTACTTCATTCGAATCTACATTTTGAAATGACCTAGCTTCACTGACGGACAGACTGACAGACTATTATTTATTTTGTATTTATTGACGTTTCAAAAGTACCGAATTATTATTGAAATAAATGCATTGACTTTGTCAAATTATGTCCAGTTTCTGTTAATTCTTATAAAATTGAACATGTAACAAACATGTTCCTATCCTTACTAAAAAAAAAAAATGTCGCGTAGAACCTAACGGGTAACTGGGGCGCTGGCTCGACGTGCAGGAAAAGGAACGGGGTGGTTTTAAGTCAGTAAGAGTCTGACACTCCCTCCCGCCTCACCCAGACGGGAGCAGTCATTCGATGATTTTCCCCCCTTAAAAAAATCCTTACTGAAAATAATAGGCATGATTTCTATTCATACGAGCACTGTATTGTATCATATTAACAGATGCCGCAACTCACTAATATAATTATCATTATACTGCTACTGTTTAATTCAATTACATTATTAGATTTATTAGTATTGTCAGTTTATAGTTATGAGTCATTACTAATGATATACGAACATTGGAGAACAGTATGTGTATAAAATTCTGTTTATTTTCCATACCTATAGTCTTACAATTCTTAAGGAAACTGCATGTCAATTTTAGCTTTATCAAACAAGTAGTTTGTTTATAAATGGTCCGTTACACACTTGGGATAAGAAGAAGGTTTATTTAGTAATTTTTAAATTTTTATTGATCACATGCTAATGTCATCAGATTTCTTGAAGTCTCACTAAAGAGTTACTCATTTTTGTAACCACTATAAACCCCAAAATAATGCTGGCAGACCACCACGGATCGGGCCCAATAGGGCCGATGCCGATACGGAGCCGCGGAGAACGCAAAAGGTTACCGGGGCTCCGGCTTGAAAGTGCAGGAGTAGGTGTGGGGTACGGGGTAGGTACGGGGTGGTTTTCAGTCAGTAAGAGTCTGACACTCCCTCCCGCCTTACTGAGGCGGGAGAAGTCATTCGATAATTTCCCCCTTAAAAAGCCAAAAATTGTTATAAATTATATAACAAATATTAAGTACCAAGTATTATTAATAAATATATTTCCTCTTTCAGTTCATGGGGGTACATATATTCAATGCATCCGCAACTATACACAGTGGCACAGTAGACAACCCTTGGTCTTTAACTCTTACTGCTGCCGAAGTTCACGCAGATGGCGCTGCGGGCGGGCCTGCGCGTGCGCTGGTGTTCTCTACGAAGTTGGTAGAGGCTAAAGCGAAGGTGGTGGGGAAGGGGGAGTGTTTGGGGGAAGCTATGTGCTGTCTGGTGATTGAGGGAACTGTGAAGGCTGATGGCCCTTTGAATGTAGAGGTAAGTTGTCCTTTTTGTGTATTCTAGATGGATCCATTAACATTGTGCATTATAGTTGGGTTGTAAAGTTTGTGTTCAATAAGAATAGAAATCATAAACTTTATTGTAAATTGTTTCGAAAAAGTATAGATTGTATAAAAAATAAATGTAGACACCTAGTAAATTGGATGATGACGGGGTATGAAAATTAAAAATCTAATTAGTCCGTCAGTTAGGTAATAAAAATATTAGACAAGTGTTTTTTATTTATTTATAGATAAAACGAATCAAAGTTTAAGAGTGGGGGCTAAAATATCATTTCTACATATAAAATGGACATAGAAGTGACGTCACGTGACACTTCAAATCAATATAATATCATCGAAAGTATTCGTTTCTGTAAGAAAATAAAAAATACGTGTCTAATGATTTAAAATAATCTATCAGACGAACATTAAAATAACAATTAGGCATCTACCCTATTCTAATTAATCAACTTCTGTTTTCTTACTTCAATTTTTCATTTTGTTTCTAATTCCACAGGACTGTGAATGTGTAATCAATGAATTAAGAGACTTCAATACTCACTGTCCCATAATTTCTGTTTTAGAAAATCCACGTAATAATCAGTAACACGTCAGTGACATTCAAGGATGAGTTGTACCAATTCTTGAAGAGCCAGAAGAAGCGCCGGCGCACCAGGGTGTTACAAGTAAATGATGAGGATCATCTCTCCACTATCATTCCGAGATTCTCACCTGTTATACCAAAGGTAAAACTTTGTACCTTGTTGCTACAGCGTAAGGCTTATTTGTGATGTATAAATAAACTTAAAAAGTAAAGATGAACTTAATAATATATAACAATACATATGTATTTTGTTTCAGATTTTCAGTTTAAAGATAGACACAACAAGAGTAAGTTGCAAAGACAAAACTGTAAATACAAACTTCGAGATGTCTTTGCAGAGCTTACAAGTAAGTTATTAACACCTGTAACTCTTCTACTGCTGGGCAAAAACTTCTTTTCTTTTCACCACTCTTGTTTGGGTGTGTAAAATTACCCCAGAAGTGATTACTTAAGAGTAACATGTTTGCTCTTAAAGTTATTTCTAATCTATTGGTCTACTAGCTTTTACCCCCGGCTTTGCTCGCGTCACAAAAGCATAAAAAGTAGCCGATGTGACATATACAAATACACACAGCGCCATCTATACCAAAACTTTTGTTTGCCCTCGGGAATATCACATTTTTCCGGGATAAAAAGTACCCTATTATTTAATCCGGACTTCTAACTTTACGTCTGTAAAAATTCAAAGCAATCGGTTTAGTAGTTAGGGCGTGAAAGCGGAACAAACAAACTCACTTTCCGATTTATAATATTAGTACGTATAGTAGATCGCATCATTGCTTACCACCAGGCGACATAGTGGTCAAACGTCGGCCTATAAAATATAAAAAAAAGTTAACCCGTCATAATTACGTGTCAACAGCTTTCTACCTGAGTACAGGATACAAAGTAGTACACCTAATATGTATATCTGAAGATATTCTTACATACAAAAATTATATTAGAAAAACGCCTCGTTGCGATGTGAAAAAAAAACAATACCGCATGTATAGTTAAGACCGCTCTTAGCTTCTAAAACCAAATTTGTCTAACCTCATATTCTCCCAGGTAAACTCCAGATTCAGTGCCGCATTAGTCCACTACGATGAGAGTGACGTGGAAGTGAGCGGTCTGCCGCAGGTGTACGTGGCGTTCCAGATGGAACAGTACCAGCTCGTTGCGGACGGATTACCTTTAGCTGTTCTTAATAAGCTCAAACTGGATGCAAAGGTAGGAATGTTCGTTTTTGACCTGTTTTCAACTTTATGACGTAGGGTGTATAGTTTAAAGTTAACCAACGTAAGTTCGTTATAGTAACCACAAGGTTACAGTGAAATTGTAGGGTTGATAGATTGCTGACATTTTTATTTCGTAAGCAGTAAAGTCGATTTTTGTGGTGTATAATATTTGCTGGCTAGATTTATTTCATGCATTCTTTGTTGTGGTATAAATATAGGGGCTAAAAGAAGTTATTCTTTAGTAAGAGTAACGAATGGAGTTTCTTTCTCGTTCTTCTCCATTCGAATCTACATTTTGGAACGAGCACCTAGCTTCACTGACGGACGGAGTAACAGATTATTATTTATTTTGTATTTGTTGACATTTCAAAAGTAATTTAATTGAAATAAATGCTTCGACTTTGAGTCCATTAATGATATAATCTTGTTGTATTCCAGTTGGAGAAAGGAGTATTAAATCTATATATAATAATAAGTACGCTGAACATTAGTTATAGTCACATAGACGCATTTAAATGGTACAAATCTGTCAAAGACAAAATAAGGAAAGCGCAGCCTTTGCAAATTATGGAAGTGGAATCTCCTTGTAAGTATCTTTTCACCATTATGTAATCAAGGGTGAGCCTATAAGCACGATTCTAAACTCCATAAAATATATTTTCGAAAAACCAAAACACTTGTTCGAACTCGTACTTGCGATATTTGATCAATGAGGTAGTTCTATGTCTTGTCTTCAATGAATAAACAAATAAAAAAAACAGGTAATGTGCTCAACCATTCTAAGAGAATAATACAGAAAATAATTTGCAAGACAACCTCTATTTATTATGTTGTTCCAGCCCCCTCCCCCCCAATATGGCTATCCCGCATATTCTCGTCGTGCATAGTACAGGGGTGCGCGGAGTTGCGTGCAGTGTCCGTGCACGCTCGACTGACCAATCACAACGCACTCGGCTTCGGATGCAGTGGCGTCAAGGTCAAACTCGACCAGCTGTTGGAGACTAGAGGTTTGTGGGAAAATGTATCTTATGTCTGTTTGTGATTAAGTTGAAATTCTACTGTCTTTTATGACTGAACTTAAGTCTGAAATACTTTTATTGTAACATTTAAATTAATGTAATGTTTTATTTTATTAATACTATTTAACTCAGATGAATCTTAGTCATCCTAAAAAAGACTTAATACTATTGGAAATAAAGTTTAAATTACAACGAACTCTTTCTCTTCCTCTTTCTAGAAGAATGGTACCGTTGTTCAGTAGCCCGCCAGGCGGTGGGAGGTAACCAATGGGGAGCGGAGTTACTGGTGGATGGGGGGTGGATGGCGTGTGGACCTGCGGCACTAACTATACGCTCCCCCCCACCGCGGAGACACCATACTTGGGGGGAGGCGCTACTAGCTGTGGCACTCGTTAAGTGGGCCACACATGGACCTAATGATTCTAAGGTAAACATGAAAAAGTAGTGAAGTTGTTTGTTTATGATGTGTTGTGCAAGCAAAAATAGATCCTATTCCTATTTGAGTTACGGTCTATGTTCTACTTAACTGAAAATGTTAATATGTATTATATGTCTATGTTCCTTTTTTAATAAAATTCTTACTCCATGACGTTAAACCTTTTATATCCCGAAGAGGTTGGAAAAATTCCATGTTAACGTTTCTAGTTTAGTTATGAAGTCCTTATTTTAGGGGGTGGACTTATATCCTTATAATATAACATAACATAACATAATATAACGCCTTTTATTCCCGAAGGGTAGGTGAAGGTGCACCTTACGGCACTTAATGCCACTGTACAATGTAAAACCCCCTTGTCACTAATTATGTTATGAGTCCCATGTAATAGGGGGTGAGACTATTGCCGTATACCGGGCACAATTCCCTTATACCAGCTTCAATATAAGACTTCTATTATTAAATAATGTTCCATGTCATTACTATAACAGGTGGAAGCAATGGTAGACTGCCTTCGTCTAGAATGGAGCCCCATCATAGCTCAAACCATCATATCACTAGCCGACTGCCTAAACGAGTACAAGTCCTCATCACCAATGGTGCAGGACCTTGAAGAGGTCTCAGAAACCAGCTCCAATATATCTGTGAACGTGGCCTTGTCTCATATCAACCTATTCCTCATTGTGAACGAGGATATGTGCCTGATGACCAGGGTCGATGCTGTGACCTTGGAGAAGAATGTCAGTAAATCTGGTGCTGTCATCTCTGGACTGAAGGTTGTGGATATAGTGCCTTATAAAGGTGAGTGTACATTTCTATTTGTCTTCATAGTTATTCTTTATCTTACTTATATTATAAACTAGCGACCCGCCTCGGCTTCGCACGGGTGCAATATGCATGTATTATACATATAAACCTTCCTTAACTCGTCGAGTACCGGTTTTATAGACACAATTAAAGAACAATAGGTCGCGGTCACCGGTGACCGCTTGGTGTTTGACAGTTTAAGAATCACTCTATCTATTAAAAAAAACCGCATCAAAATCAGTTGCGTAGTTTTAAAGATCTAAGCATACATAGGGACAGACAGACGGCGGCGTAAGTTTGTAAGGATTTATGTATGTTTGTTTGTTTGTTTGTTTGTTTGTTTGTTTGTTTGTTTGTTTGTTTGTTTGTTTGTTTGTTTGTTACTCTCTCACACAAAAAATACTGATCGGATTTAGATGAAATATGGGACAGGAGTAGATTATGGTTTGGATAAACAACTAGGCCACTTTTTATTCCATACAAACGCGGGCGAAGCCGCTATCAGAAGTTGATCGATATAAGGGACTTTCATGGAAAAGAGATACTGAATTATTGATACAAGACTACACAAATTAGTGAAAACAACCCTTTGAGTACCGTCATTATAGACACAATTAAAGAACAATAGGTTGCGGTCACCGGTGTCCTCGCGGTGTTTGACAGTTTAAAGTAATAGCTTCCTCCGGTATTCCACACGTAGATGATTTAGCATCTATCTTGATAGTGGCGCTAAGCATGTGCAAATGCTATTGGCGTCTGCTTCTTTACTCTAAGTCTTATTCCTTTAAGCTTAAGACTAATTTTGTTTGACCTTTTAAAAAACTTTTCCATTCTTCTAGGAAACATCCACTGTCAGCGATCAGACGAGATACCATCAACATTTTTCCACGTGAAACTAGCACGGATAGAGTATCTCCTCTCGAAAGAGAAGTACTCTTCACTCTTAGATGTCCAGTTCATAGAGAACGTGGACTTAGAATGGAGTGCCAACTTACACCTGAAAGTCTTAACCTTCGTTAGAGCCGTGAAGGAGTTCCAGCAGGAGTTGAGAGTGAGAAGGAGTCAGGTTGTGAAAAAGAAAGGGAGAGCGCTTGATTGGAGGGTAGCTTTTAAGGGAGAAACCAATTTGGGACTGATTCTGTCCAAGGAAAATAGTATGCTGTTTGCCACAGGTTAGTAAAAGCTTTTCCGAAATTGTAGATGTAAGTATTTTTAGTTACAAATATAACAACATAACATAACATCACGCCTTTTATCCTCGAAGGGGTAGGCCGAGGTGCACATTATACCACTGTACAATGTAACACCCACTTTTCACTATTTATGTTATGAATCCCATGTAAGCCTATTCCCATAGGGGGTGAGCCTATTGCCATATACCGGGCACAGTTCCAGACTCCGTGCTACTACTGAGAATTTTTTGAAAACCCAGTAATACTTTGCCCGACCCGGGATTCGAACCCGAGACCCCTTGCTCGGCAGTCGCAATTGCGACCACTCGGCCAACGAGGCAGTTACAAATATGTTTCTTAGCTTAATATTAGGCCCTAATGGCATTAAGGCATTAACTGATTGGTTAAAACTCTTTGCTACAAAGAACATATTACTTACTGAGCTCTGGCCTTTTTGCGCGCCGTCTTAACTGTTTAATTTTTTTGTGTGTTCTTGTACTTGTGACGGTGTGCAAATAAACCATTTCTCTATCTTCTTCTTCTTTCTTCTTAACTAAAAATTACGAGTTACTCGCTTAAATATACTGAGAAACGCTCTACTAGTTTCGAGTCACAGACGGGCTCTTCCTCATAAAATTATTAGTTATTATTTGATGGTCAGTATTTATGTACAGACAACTATTAGTATCTCTAATTTGGTTTGTATAAAATGTAACAAATTGAGAGAAACCAATTTATAAAACCACTCCAAATGCCTTGCTTTTTATTTATCTAGATCTTCCCTACTTATTAAGTATGAAGGGGTTCATTATCAAATACTAGACTACACCCTCACCTTATTTTTAACGTTCTAGATGACATGACAATAGCTTACGACCACGAGATAGGCCTGTCTATCGTATGGAGCAAGCTGAACATGATTCTCAACGGAGACGAGGTCATCATGGTGGAAGGATACTCCCAGGAACGAGTGGCTGATGACCTTGAGGTCAGGGTCGAGAGGAAGGCCAACGAAGGGTTCGCGCTTACTTGGAATAAGGTTTGGTAAGTTTACATTGACGTTTTGACAGCCGTTTGATAGAAAATAACATGCGTTTTCGACAAGAGTACTTAAATATTATTTTGTTATAATCTGTTGAAGTTTCTCATTGGAGCGAAGATGACAAAAGCTGGCTTGTTGTCCAGACAGCCAATTTTCTAGTAAGCTTCTGAAGCATAGTTTCCACCTAGCTTCACTGACGGACTGACTGACAGACTATTATTTATTTTGTACTAGCTTTTACCCGCGGCTTCGCTCGCGTCACAAAAGGATAATGAGTACCCTATGTGACATATACCAATACACAGTGCCATCTATACCAATACTTTTGTTTTCCCTCGGGAATATTACATTTTTCCGGGATAAAAAGTACCCTATTATTTAATCCGGTCTTATAACTTTATGTCTATAAAAATTCAAAGCAATCGGTTTAGTAGTTAAAGCGTGAAAGTGGAACAAACAAACAAACGCACTTTCCGATTTATAATATTATATAGTAAGGATTAGTAAGGATTTGTTGACGTTTCAAAAGTACCAAATTATGGTTTAATAGATATAGAGGTAAATGCTTTGACTTTGATCAGAAAATAGCAGTAGTTGTAGTACTCATCTTCTGTTGGATTTTGATGCCTATCAACGTATTTATTTAAGTTTATCCCATCCACGCCACTAACCGACACTTCAACTATTAATATTCAACCATTTCCAGACAAATTATTATGCTTACCTAATTCATTTCCCAACAGGTTGGTGACAGTAGATTCAGTCCGCGTGGTGTTTCCCTACAAGCATCGGTTCGCGGAGGCCGTGCAGGGCGACTTCGTGTCCCTCTTCAAGTGGATCAAGCTGGTGCACGGCATCAAGAAGAAACCCTTCACTGTTGATAGCCCACTGCCTAGTGATCTGCATATTAAGGTATGATTTCCTGAGGTGAAGTTAAACTAAAAGTACTTGCTTCAATGTGGTCATTGAAATTTCAACTTTATTGCTACGGTGATAAGTCATATTTTCGTCTGCCGCATGTTGTATAAACATTAAGTTTTCTGTAGCATTAATCATAAAAACGTTGTACATTAACTAGATTGAAGAGCTTCTGATAGAGATGAGCGATGATCCGTTCGAGGTGAAGCTGCGAGACAACTACGAGCTGTTGGAGGATGAATACAAGGAGAGTCAGAAACGACGCACCATGCTCGATGCTAAGGTACTATAGAATACTTCTTTGAAATATCCTAAATGCGCTTATGGCTATAAATGAGTCGAGCAATATTAGCTAGGTACAAAAGTTCGTTAAGCATTAGGTTAAATAATACCAGCTGTCTGTGTAATAACTTGGCTGATTGCACACCTTTTCAATCGTAGCCATAGAGTTCAAAAAGTTATATACCTTCTTTCTATACAGGTACAAGAACTATGCAAGCCCCACCTGTTTCTACCAGCGGGTAAAGTAGAAGAGCTATACTCCGCGTTACGTCAGAAGGACGCCCAGATCTACGTACAACGGTGTCGCGCCGCGCCCCCGCCCCGCACCCGCCTCGTCGCATGTTGTCTGTCGAGGTTCTCACTGGTGGCACTAGCTGATCCTACCATACATGGAACGCAGAATGCGCAAGCGAGGCTCAGGGAGATTGATCATGATAGGTCAGTGATGCTTAAGGTTGTTGTAACTTTCGATCTGAGGTTTTTAACGTTGTCACATTCTGAAATTGTTTTAAAATAAGTTATCTCAAAGGTTTGTCTCGTGGGACCTTACAAAACGAGGAACTAGTGTCAGTTGCTGTGCTGATAACCAAAAAATTATTGACTTTCTGAAGTATGTTTTTTGAATGAAAATATCTAATTAAATATGTACGACCAAGATATTGAAATCAGTATATAAAGCATTATATCACAAATGCTGCTAATGAGCATATTAATAAATAATTAATGAGCATATTAGCAGCATTTGGTCGCTTAACCATCACTGCAGTCTTAGATTTACGACCTCTTCACATGTACAGCAAATTGTAAATATGAAGTAACACAAGTCCATCTCCACAGTCCATGGCCAGAAGACGGCATCGAGTTCACTACGCTCTGGTGTCGAAGTATCAACATGAGTTGCACTCAGTGGCAGTTGTTACTGAGGGACTTCCCTCAGCCCTTGCTGAGTATGAGCGAGCTGAAGATGTGGGGTACCCTACTGGCTGCAGAGGAACAAGCTCCACCACGTGGTAAGAAAAACGAATACACAAGTGTATTGCGCAAAGTTAGAGATGAATGCGCAAAATTGCGCAAACATATTTTTAGTTTGTTTTTCATTGATGGTGTAGTCAAGATTTCAGAAAGTAATGAGAATGTCACTTAGCTATAATTTATTAATTGATAAGTTTTAACTGAACTACTTTTGGGAGGAAACAAAAAAACACAAGCACCTATAACAATAATTTTATTTACATCAGATTCAAGTAAATTACTAAAAGTATGTAAAGTAATTAAATAAATAAATATACTAGAGTCGGTTGTAGGAGACGTATGCCCGTTCTCACAAACTTTTCCTAAATTTAAAAGAACCCTTAAGCTAAGATAGGTGTCATTTAACACTTTTTTGTTTACACCAACCTATAACTAACAGTCCAAGTAAGGGGTTAGGTTAGGTTAGGTGCTACGTCCCGCTAAGGAACTTTTAGTTAAGTGACAGTTTAGGGGTGATCGTATGATAACGGCCACTAGATATCTAGACAAGTGCCAATCGCTTCGAAGCTATTCCATTGCTATAATAAACTAGTGTGCCACTCCGATTTCACTCGGGTCTTTTCCCTTGACTTTATCGGTAATCGATGAATCCGGTAAAGTCAATGAATAAGACCACTAATAAATTATAACTATGTCGAACATTAAAAAAAACCTTAACTTGACTTTACTGAAAAAATAAGTTTACCTACGACTAATTTCTATTTGTCAATATTTGACTTCAAATAATACTGAAGAAGAGTATCCATGGACTTTCTTGCTCGTTCTTCTCCATACAATTATTTATTATACCTCTATTAATAGCGTAAATTATGATTAGGCATCATCACAGGAGTCCTGTTTTCCACTTGTGCATAGTACCTGCGGAAAAATAAAATTAATGACGATTAATGAAACCACAAGATGAAGAACCCATTTTTATTCTTAAAGTGGTATTTGTGAATATAAATGGCGTAGAAAGACTTCAAAAGAAAAGTTTATAGACATCTGAATAGTTGAAGAAGATTTCACGTCACATAATCAGCCTGTAAGTCCCTATTACAGAACAAAGGCCTCTTTTCACACGGAGAAGGTTTGAGCATTAATGATCAAGCCTGCTCAAGCCGCATTGGCGATTTCAAACTTATAATTATAAATTGTAAGTCCAGATTTCCTCACGATGTTGTACACAGTATGTCAGTGGTATCTATATAATAACATATGGCGTAATCTATCCAATAGACATTAAAACTGCCTCGATAGACGAATGGTCGCAAGTGCGACTACCGGGCAAGAGGTCTCGTGTTCGATTTCCGGGTCGGGCAAAGTATGATTGGGTTTTTAAAAAAAAATCTCAGTGGTAACACGGAGTCTGGAAATGTGCCTGGTATATGGCAATAGGTTCACCCCTTATTACATGGGACTCATAACATAACTAGTGAAAAGTGGGTGTTATTTCTGTGTGCACCTCTGCCTACCCCTTCGGGGATAAAAGGCGTGATGTTATGTATGTAGACATTAAAAAACAACAAGTTCCTTACCTGTTATGATCATAACGGTTATCATAGTGTTCATAACCTGAATGCCTGTAAAAACCGTAAGGCTGGTACAAGGAGGGCCCTTCGTTTTGATGCTCATGTACCGGCTTATGGTCCATGTTCTTTAGCAACCACCCCAGTCTATAGTTGGCCTGCAAATTGTCATCGATTTTAAGCCCATACCCACATAGTTATGCTTGTCTCCCATTGGGGTAGGCATAGAATATGGAACGCCAAATCACACGATTTTAAGTTACTTAATAAAAATCGCGGGTTGCTCACGTAAAAATACTGAGAAAAGCTCTACTAGTTTCGAGCCGCAGAGGGGCTCTTCCTCGTGAGCAGCGGCTGCAGTATTTTTACGTGGGTAACCTGCGATTTTTAGTTAATTTAGTATGTCTCACGATATTATACTTTAACATAGTTCTTTCGCTTTATCTACATTCATCAATCTCTTGATGCATACTCGTCGATAGAGGGTGATTTTAAGTCATAGGTCTGATCCGCAATCCAACTGGGTAACAGGAGGTGGTTTGTCCTACACTAGAAATATTTCCTCAAAGTCAACGTCTGTCCAAACATTTATTTCAATTGAACCATAATTTGATATTTTATAAACGTCAACAAATACAAAATAAATAATAGTGTCTGTCAGTCTGTCCGTCAGTGAAGCTGACTAGCTTGGACAGCTAGACAGGACTCTGTATTGTGGATTCCAAACATTAAATTACTTTTCCTTTACCACACTGCCTACATTATTTTTTGTAAACTTATTGATACTCACATAGGGGTTATGCGGTTGCTTGTTTGCATGTTGATTATGCATTTGCCCACGCTGGTTATACATTTGCCCAAGCTGGTTATGCATTTGCCCACGCTGGTTGTCCATTTGTCCACGCTGGTTATCCATTTGCCCACGCTGGTTATGCATTGGCCCACTTGGCCCACGCTGGTTTTGCATTGGCCCACGCTGGTTATCCATGGTCCAACGCTGGTTATCCATTTGCCCACGCTGATTATGCATTAGCCCACGCTGGTTATCCATTTGCCCACGCTGATTATGCATTAGCCCACGCTGGTTATCCATTTGCCCACGCTGATTATGCATTAGCCCATACTGGTTATGCATTTGTCCGTGCTGTATAAGTACATGCCCATGTTGATTTTGTATTAATCCATGTTGATTATGCATTTGTCCGTACTGATTAGGCATTAGTCCATATTGATTGGGCATTTTATTGGCTCCATGTGGAATGTGCTTGTTATTGCAAGCACAATGGGCAGAAACAGCTACAGCAGTTAATAATAGAGATAAAACCTGCAAAGTAAAGAGTAAAATTATGATTTATAAGATTATATTGGAAACGAATTTAGGGATTGCATGAAGTCTTGTTGTTGTTTGTTAATCTAGTAATAAGAAATAAAAAGGCCTTAAAAGCCTCGGCCTTAGTACTAGTTTATTTTACAGTATAAGTTACTTTAATGGCAATGGGCAGGGCATTAGATAAGATGCAAAGAGAAATGGAGCAAAATTGTCACACGATGGTACCCTAGAGAAGGGAAAGAAATAGAGGTAGACGGCAGAAAAGGTGTGATGACGACATCCGGCAAATAGCAGGAAGAACCTGGATTAGGGTGGCCCAAAATAGAAGGGAAAGGAAAAGGTTGGGGAAGGCCATTGCCGGCTGGCAAACAGACCTACAAGAAATGATTAAATATTAGATTAGAATAGAGAACCGGAAGACAATAATCTGTAATACAGTTGACACGTGTATATCTAATATATAAAATTTTTGTGCTTATCCGGTATCTATGAGAATCGGCCAACATCTATTTTTCATCCCCCTACACGTTAGGGGTAGTCCACCCCTAATTTTTATTTTTTTACACAAAATTTATAAATTCTGTTTTTTTATGATACAACATACAAAAATAAATACAATCCTCAATTTACACCCTTCTACAAAATTATTTATATGGCAAAACAACGTTTGCCGGGTCAGCTAGTGATAATATATAATAGTATAGGTTTAAAATAAGATACGTAACAGTAAGCGCTATTTAAACAAAAACACATGCAATAATAATAATAATATAACATATCAAACTGTCACAGTATATTCAAATAAGGATTAGAATTATCACTTTTTGTTCAGGCCTATTAGTTAAAGGATGGACGTAACGTAATGGGTGTTTGAAGGTGCGGGGTCAATGACCGGGTAATGGGTCATTTGGAAAAGGATCACACAAGCACGTTGGTGTATAGGAATTATGATTAGGACTTAGTTGAATAATTCTGTGACTAAATAGTTCACATGTCAGGTTCTGTTCTCGTTGATTGGATTAAAATTGGTGTAATATATTTATTTTTAATGGGATTATCCGGTAAACGAGCAGTAGTATCATCTGATGTTAAGCAATCGTTGTCGCCCATGGACACCTGGAACACTAAGAGGCGTTACACACGTGCGTTACCGGCCTTTTGGGGATCGGATATTTGAGGATTGTTGGGGATTCAGGGATTGGGGAGATTGGGGAAGCCCCCCCCCCCGGTAATTGGGCCTCCGGTGACCTCACTTACACGACGAAACACAACGCAAGCGTTGTTTCACGTCGGTTTTCTTTCAAAAAGTAAAGAAATTGCACAGGCTATAAGTAATTTTCCTTAAAATAAAAGTAATACTACAACGGCCTACAGTATTTATATCACTATTTCTATTATTAATAATATTTATTTATTTTTTAAGGTGTCTTTTCAAAAATGTATTTGAATGAATGAATTTAATACATATGTTTTAGAAAATATCTCCTAATAAAATGAAATATTATTATTTACCTGTACAAACATGTTGGAAGTATTGTTTAGCACAATAACTAACTAATACTGATATGTGTTATATTATCTTATACATACATATATGCACAGTGGTGAAAATGCAGCCAAGGTGATATTTAATTGCATTCCTTGATATATTGATCCATTATGTTTTACAGCTACACTTGGCTAATTAATGATGACTTATTTGTGATTGATGCAAAAATCGCAGTTTGTTTTCATTTTTTTTTGTATCAATTTGAATTTCTTTGAGCTTATGTTAAATTTAAGTATGACTCTTGCATTTTGGGTTGTTTCCGCATTTGCAAATAAAAAATTAGGCGTAAGAGACTTTAGAAACAAAGTTAAAGACATCTAAATGGTTCGACTAGATTTTGCATCACACATCACATCAGCCTATAAGTGGCTACTGCTGACCAAAGGCCTCTTTTGCCACGGAGGTTTGAGCATTAATCGCCACGCTTGCTGAATGCGGATTGGCAATTTCAAACTTATAATTAGAAATTATAAGCCCAGATGTTTTCCTTCACCGTTTATCAGTGTTGTCTAAGTAATCTTAGAAAGTACATATAACTTGGAAAAAGTCACATTGGTACTTGCCGTTGGTAGGCTTTACTCTTATGCATGAGAAGCAGGTGTCTTAAACCTCCGGGTTACCACGACCTAACAACCAATTTGTCTTGTTTAATGACATTGGATGAATGTTGAATTGGCTAGTTTCCTTGGTTTAAAATAAATTGTATCAACTTTTCTATGCAATAAATAATTATAAAATAATCATACTCTCATCTATTGGTTTGTCAATTTACCTACTTTTGGACTTTTTCTCGCCAATTTTAAGGAAATAAATATGCTGTTTGTCGCAGAATATGATGACGTCATAAGTAGCGATCCAATACAAAATTCATAGAAAAGTATCGTTTTTGACATTTCAATAAAAGTATTGAATTTGACTACTTGTCAACTACCGTATTGTGTTGAAAAAGCGTATTATAGTATTTTAATTAAGTCCGCAACCCTACTGTTTTATTATATGTGTTACTATGTAACAATAGTGTTACTGAAACTAAAATAATAGTGCAAGTTATGAGCCGAAATATTTGATTGTTGTATGCCAAGGACGTCACGCTTAGTGATTATAAAATATATGAAATCAATAATAAATATAGGAGATGTTTTTATTGTAAATACTGAACAAATCGTTGTATTATTTCATTGTGCTTAAGGATGTTTTATTTTTCGATGTCTTTGCAGTCAAATCCAGTGATTTTGGTGTTACATTATTCTCGCACAATTGAACCAACAAAACTATGTAATTAAAGAATAATAATTGTATTGTGAACCTGATTGAAAAAGAGTAACCTATGTAGTTTCTTGCTCGTTCTTCTCTATAGAAATCTACTGTGGAATGAGCAAATAGCTCCCTTCATCAATCTAAAGTGCCTCCCTTGTCTAATAGGGATGATGACAGGGTATGAAAATTAAAAATGTAATTAGTCCGTCAGTTAGGTAATGAAATACGTTTTTTTTATTTTGTTGTATACATATAGATATAGATATTACGAATCAAAGTTTAGGAGTCCCCACTCCTAAAACGTAATTTTTACGTATAAAATGTACATACATAGAAGTGACGTCACGCAACATTTCAAATCAATACGTCGTCGAAAGTATTCGTTTCTGTAAGAAAATGAAAAGTACGTGTGTAATGTTTTAAAATAATCTACTTACCAGTAGGACATTAAAATATAAATTAGTCATCTACCCTATTGAAATAATAATTTTGACTTTATTTTATGTATGCTTCCCAAAGTGACTTTCAAATTTTGTCTACGATTATGATTTATAAAAAAATTAAGGATTATTATTATACGATTATGATTCAATACACTATCAGGTAGTCCTCTCCGTCCTCCTCCGAGAACATTTTCCATCATGAAATAAATTAAGTTATGGTTAGGTGGCCAGAAGGTCAACCTATCCTTTTCTATTAGATATCTCTATTACATCTTCAACTTTATTGTATTGACATAAAGTCGAAAATAGAATGAATAAATATATTTTGTTCCTATTGTCTCATGCCCATAAAAGATTTATCTTCTGGCATACATAACACTAACGCAATATCTTCTTCCCCAGCCGTCCGCACAGTGACGATAGACCAGGGCGCGCCGTGGGGCGAGCAGGAGTTGGAGCGCAGCATGATGCCGCTCAAGTGGTACTACGACCTGTGCTGCGAGATGGCTGAGTATAGCTACGCGTTCGGACCCTGCTGGGAACCTGTTATAGCTCATTGCAACTTGTGTACGTATCCTACAACATAATTTGTGGAAAATTTAAAATAACTGACTGCCGGACAACGGGTCCCGGGTTCGATTCCTGGGTCGGGCAAAGTATTATTGGTTTTTTAAATAAAATTAGAATTGTGCCCGGTTTATGGCAATAGGCTCACCTCCTATTACATGGGACTTATAACATAATAGTGAAAAGTGGGTGTTACATTGTACAGTGGCATTAAGTGCGGTAATGTGGATCTCTGCCTGCCCCTTCGGGGATAAAAGGCTTGATGTGTATGTATATAATCATTAATCCTATTTTATTCCACTCACGATATTAATCCGAAAGTTTTATCCGGGTATCGCAACCCTGGCAGAAGCAGTTACTACTTAATAATAGGACTTGTAATATTAATTAAATTACCGGTTAACGGAATACATTTTACGCATATAACTGTTGATTTCTTATAGTCAAGGATGTACGCCATGCAAAGACTACTTAGTTGATTATAGTCAACGCCATGCCTAATTATTTAATAACATCCTTCCTACAGAACAGAGAAAATTGTCTTCGCAATTTTTTGCTGAAGTATGTGATGTGTAACGATGCTTTAATACACAAACACTTATTTGAAACTAGCTTTTACCCGCGGCTTCGTTCGCGTCACAACAGGATAAAAAGCCTATGTGACATATAACTATATACACAGCGCCATCTATACCAACACTTTTGTTTTCAATCGGGAATATCAATTTTTCCGGGATAAAAAGTACCCTATTATTTAATCTGGACTTCTAACTTTACGTCTGCAAAAATTCAAAGCTATCGGTTTAGTAGTTACGGCGTGAAAGCGGAACAAACAAACAAACTCACTTTCTGATTTATAATATTAGTAAGGATGAGAATTGAGCATATATGTAATATGTAGGATAATACAGGAGCAAATAACGCACAATTTTTATTTATCTAAAACAGAAAGTTTATTGTTAACATCAATTGAAACACACAAATTAATTAATATCAAACATGTACGCATTACCAATACCAACCTAAAACAGAAAAATCGACAATTAAAGGTATTTACTTCCAATATTTTAGTAGATCGACACTGTATTACATTTTATACATCAGTTGAACAAGCACTTTAACTTTTCTTTTATAAAACTTTATAACAATTAGAAAATATTACATTATTAAATCTACCCGGGGTTTTGCATTCTATCGAAAAAAGCGCGGGCTGCTGTCAGCTGTCACTGTCCCACTTCGTGTCAAACGTCATTCTTGTTAGGCGACGAACACAAGGCTGGTAATAAGGCTGCGCACACACATTATACAAAGCATCTTACATATATCTTTTTATATTTGATGGGCTGATGTTTGATCAGTTTGTCTTTTATAGTCATTCTTTTTTTATTAAAAAAAAAGTTGCCCCACACTAGGATTTTCTCCTGTGTCGTGGTTGCGTTTACAAACATACAAGTTCACATACACATCACACCCAGATCCGAAACAATAATCTGTGGACCACACAAAGAGTTCTATCCGCGACACGTCGCTTGGCAGCCAGTTGCCGTACCATCGCACCAACAGTGCAGTCATTGAAAGCAATAAGGTTTACGATTTGCGTTTAGGGGGTCAAATCCCATATATGCATACTTCATAACACCATTTATAATAATTCCAGCCTTCGATCAAGTATCTCGTCCGTCTTTGGACCCGTCAGCACCGCTCTCGTGGTGGGACAAAGTACGTCTGCTGATGCACGGCCGGCTGACCGTCAACTGCGCCAAGTTCACGTGTCTCCTACATGTGTCCCTAGATCCTTACAATACCACGGAGGAAATGGAGGTTACCTGGACCGACCTGGTGCTGGATTGGACTAATGGTAAGTGGTTATTTGGGACTATATTAGTGTAGTGTGTGTGACACCTCGCCCTATAAGTAGTGTAAGTTAGATATTAAGACCACTTAATTAAAGATATTCATAAGACCAACACGTCTTCCTCATTGCTCCACATTGCATGGCGACCCTGCCAGGATGTCCAATAGTACATTATGCTATGCGAAATAGTATAGTAGTATGTACGTAGTTAGGAATGATAGATACGTTTTGTTAAAGATCAAGGGTTTGAGTACCAAAATGTGATCGCTGTTGTTTTCTGAATATCAAAGAAGGTTTATTAATGTACTATTTTCCTTAAAAAACAAAAGTAGACCTATCATTTTACATTTGCGAGGAGTTCAGAGGAAGAGTCCCGGTCCTGATCACTTACCATGTTCAACATCTCCCCCCCCCAGGTAGACTAGGCTTCCTAGGCACCCTGGACGTGTACGTGCGCACGGCGAGCAAGTACGACGACTGCCGCGTGCTGCGCGTGCCCGCGCTGCGCCTGTCCGTCAAGATGGGCTGGCAGTGCGTCGCCGACCCCCGGGACCACCACGCCGTGGCGCCCTGTGCTCCCACCAGGCTGCCCGAGTATTCTAGTAATCAGGTAAGAAGCCGGTGATATTTGGCTGTAAATATACATGCCCAGAGAAGCAACATTCCTCATAGGACTTGTAACTCGTCTTGTATTGCGGGTGTCCATAGGCAGCGCTAATCACTTGCCAATAATGATAGATCAATGCTATTGCCTCCAGTTTTGTTTTATTTCTATATGTCCCAATATTGTGTTAATAAAAAACTAGTTGCTGTGTAGTGTATAATGGTATTATATTAGGTGGTACCTTAACCTGTCTATCGTGTTCAAGCGGTGGTAATTTAAATACGCTTAACAGTGATTTCTGCTTACTTATTTTCAACCTTATCGTTGTTGTCTAATGTTGAAAATTGACTAATAAAAACCATCTGTTCAATAAGACATATTAACTTGAAATCATGTGATATTGATAGGAACACGACTCGTACAGAGCGTTCAGGTCTCAAGGACTGGATCTCCACCTCAGCATGGAGACGAAGCCTGTGGACAAAGAAGGAAACGGACCCGTACTACTGCTATATGGAAGTACACTCAGGTAAATAACAATATATTCAGTAAAATATGCATAGTTGACTCATTGGTCACTGAGGCTGAGGCCGATCATCAGGTCAGATGAAATATTATTAGGTACTTGTAGCCTGTTTAGAAAATTTCTAGTGTGACCATAAAAATCATTAAATCGCGTCTGGTGGGTCTTGCTTTCTATGACATGGCTATTCAACTAACTGGTGAAGAGTTGATCCTCTTATGGAGAATATTGTATTATTGGAAAGCAATATCTAATATTTAATTATGTAATGTAATTTTGTTTCTATTCTAAGGTGGTTCGAGAGCCTAAAACTGATTCTGTCAGGCATCACCCGACCGACGCGTCGCGGACGTATCTTCAAGAACGTGCGCCCGCGCAAGCCGCAACTATCACGTCACTACAGAAATGTCAGCGTGTCTGTTACGTTACACAATTTACAGGTGATTGGGATTTGATGTTACCTATATGTATGAGTTGGAAATTGGAACCGTTTTGTTAATTTTATCTTGATATGAAAAATTAAAATTTTGTTGCATTTCAATAACATAAAATATAATTATGTATATCATTAGTTTACTTCTAAGATCAGCTTCTCCATAATTTGGTACTTTTGAAACGTCAACAAATCTCTACATAGTATAAAACAAAGTCGCTATCCGCCGTCTGTCTGTCCCTATGTATGCTTAGATCTTTAAAACTACGCAACGGATTTTGATGCGGTTTTTTTAATAGATAAAGTGATTCTTAAGGAAGGTTTATATGTATAATACATGCATATTGCACCCGTGTGGACCGGGTCGCTAGTATAAAATAAATAATAGTCTGTTAGTCTGTGTGTCAGTGAAGCTAGGTGCTCGTTCCAAAATACAGATCCGAAGTCAATGTATGTAGGAACTAATACACAGCCTACTATCAAGATGAAATTAAAGTAATATTGCGTCATTAGTTGACCATATTTTCTACTCTTCAAAGGTCTTCTACTGGTCATCATCATCGCTTCAGCGTGGTATAGAGATGTTAGGAGTCCGAGTGACGTGTGGCTCCAAGCACCGCCTGTCCCTGGTGGCCACCAATGATGGACTGGTCCGCAGGCCCCGCGCCAACTGGACTACAGTCTACATGAACTGTGACCTGAATGACGCTGAGATCTGGTTGAAGACCCTGGCTGCTGATGAAAAGGATGGTGATGAGGTTTGTGGTATTATTTAAATACTTGGTTTTGACTTGCAGTTTCTGATAGATATAGCAATTGTAATACTATATAATAAAAATGTAAGTTAAGAAAATGAGTGACCAAATTATTCCAATTACAATGATTTTTCAATATTGTACTTTATTATTATTTCAATATCGAGTTATAACATTATGAGTTAACAACAATTGTTTGCTAAACTGCCTTGTCAGTCGCATTATATTCTGTCCACAATAAATTTTAACAATCGACCTTAACTGTATAGACATAAGACACCAAATCCTAAGTCAAAACACTAGCATACAACGCAATATGTCCCGCAGTACCCGGGGCTGGCGGCCCGCGTGCTGGAGAAGTGCTACTGCCTGTCAGTGCGGCGCGTGTCGTACGGGCGCGAGGCGGGCGCCTGTACGGGCGCCTGTACGGGCGCGCCGCCCACGCACCGCCTCGCTGTACACGACCTGCGCGGCGCCTGGACCAAGCTCAACAGGGACCTCGCCTTCGCACTCATCGATACCTATATTAAGACTCAGGTATGTCTGACATTCATTTATTTTATATACAAACTAGCGGCCCCGGCAGACGTTGTCCTGCATGTAATATAATAATAGGTATAGATAAATAACCTAGAAAGTACTGCAGCGCCATCTGCCGGGCTGATTTGTGAGTCTAAACCATTCTAAGATCCCCTTGAACACACACAAAAAATTTCATCAAAATCGGTCCAGTCGTTTGAGATAAGTTCAGTGACATACACACTCACGGAAGAATTATATATATAAAGATATTGAGCTGTTATTGTTGTTATGTCGATAATTTGTGTGTACATTTCTCTTTTACAGCAATTGAAGAAGAACCTATCAACCAAGGCTTTGAAGGAAGAAGAACAACCGAACACATCTCCCAAACACCAGCGGGAAGTTGACGTCATCTCACCTCCACCCCCAGTTAATACACAAGTAATTTGTGAAATCTAAATAAATATATAATATTTTCTACGATGTCCTTTTACGCTCTATTGCCAATATTATCCATAATATTTTTCCTGATGTATTAATGCAATCAATCAATCAAATTTTTATATTGTTTATTGATTTACAAAAAAAAACAGTTGTTGAACCGTAATCTAATGAGATATGCATTCTAAAGCTAGATTCTATTAAAATTCCATTTTTTTATATCATAACCCGGTAAACGAGCAGACGGATCCCCTGTTGGTAAGCAATCGGCGTCGCCCATGGACACCTGGAACACCAGAGGCTTTACAAGTGCGTTACCGGCTTTTTGGGGATTAGGAGTTTGAGGATCGTTGGGGATTCAGGGATTGGGGAGATTGGGGAAGCGGAGGGTAATTGGGCCTCCGGTAACCTCACTCACACGACAAAACACAACGCAAGCGTTGCTTCACGTCGCTTTTCTGCTCGGCCACTATCATATCATATCACTCCGGTCGAGCCGGCCCATTCGTGCCGAAGCATGGCTCTCCCACACTTAACAATTTTTAGTCGTACGAGGAAAAACCATTATTTAATTCATCCGTCCATACTTACCATGTTTGTATAATTAGAACATTACTAAGTGCATTTACAATATTGTGTAATAATATAATGTGTGATGTAAATGTCCCAGTCGAGCGGCGCGGCGGCGGGCTGCGGCGGCGGCATGCTGGCGGCGCTGGTGGCGGAGGCGGGCGGCGCGGCGCCCGTCGTCTTCAGCGACGAGCTCTCCGGCGCCGAGGCAGACGCGCCGCCGCCCATCGCCACGCATCTCAGGCACGAGCTCGACGACGACAACGCGCATACTGCGTGTCTCAGTGAGCATCTCTATTGTTTTGTATTTACTTAGATACTTAATGTACACGTCATGTGTCTCCATTTCAGCAAATAAATAATAATATTTTTTGCAAGTCATAAATCTCTATCAATATTTTTGTTATAAGAATTGATAATTATATAGTCATCTGTCATTATGTTACAAAAATACCAAACTAATTTAACAGACCTATACTCATTTCATTTTTTAAGTACAGTAAATATATCTGTTTTTCGATTGTTACATAAATTGATTAAATATGACCGTACATAAGCCCGTATTGGTCCGCAGTCGAGCTGGTGAACTCGCAGGTGGTGCTGAAGGGCTGCGAGACGCGCGGCTACGTGATCCTGTGCGCGGCGCGCGCCGAGGTGCGGCAGCGCGTGCGGCGCGCGCCGGCCGCCGCGGCGTGGAGCGGCGCGCTCTCCGCCATGCAGTACTACGCCACCGTCTCCGCCGCCGACAGGGACCAGCTACTCGGTCCGCCGACACTCATCCTACTCATATTATAAACTAGCTATTTCCGCGCGGTTTCACTCGCTCTGCTCGGCGCCTTTTAAACGTAGCGTGATATTGTATAGCCTTCCTTGATAAATAGGCTATCCAACACAGATATAATTTTTCGAATCGGACCAGTAATTTCGGAGATAAGCGCGTTCAAACAAACAAACAAAAAAACAAACTCTTCAGCTTTATATAATCTATATATATATAAAAGAAAGTCGTGTTAGTTACACCACTTATAACTCAAGAACGGCAGAATAGATTTGGCTGAAAATTGGTAGGGAGGTAGCTTAAAGCCAGGAGACCAACATAGGATACTTATTAACCAACATTTTTTTTTACATTTTACCGAAAATCACGAACGGGGACGGGAAAAATGGGATTACGCGTACGAAGTCGCGGGCAGAAGCTAGTATTAGTATAGATGCTAAACTTTGTGAGGATGTATGTGTGTGTACATGTGTGTGTTTGTTACACTTTCACGTCAAAACAGCTGAAAGAATCAAGAGGATGAAAGGAAATTTAACTCGTCGAGTACCGTATTTATGGACATAATTAAAGAACTAGGTTGCGTACTAGTTGTAGAATAGGTTGCGGTCACCGGTGACCGCTTGGTGTTTGACAGTTTAAAACGGAGATAGATTATAGTCTGATATACCACTTAGGCTACTTGTTGTACCAAGCCAACGCGGGCGAAGCCTCTGGCAGAAGCTGATTGAAGAATAAGAATAGTATTAACAAAAAAAGTATTAAAAAATAATTTGGTAGAACAAGTTGCTCTGGTACCCCAACATATGTTTGAACTTTTAATAGAAGAAAATGTCTCTTTTTACGGTTTTTGCCTGCTCCACATAAAACTGCTTTAAATAAAGCTTAATACGATAGACAAAATCTAAGACAACCGATGAACCATCTAGGATCTATTATTCGGACCAAGTTTGGATAGGTCAACTAGATTTACCTATTAGAATAGATTCCTATTCCTAGTCCTAGATTCATCGATAAGAATTTGAGAATCTTAGTGTAATACAACATTATTCTTTATAGAGAACATCCAGTGGGTATCAGTAGAGGAGATAGAGGAGCGGTGGCAGAGCGCAGAGATCAGTACCCTGCCCGACGTGCCCAGGCTGGTCGGTAGTGGACACTCCGCCGGGGGAGTCATTGGGAGGACCGTGGGACCCAGCGCCGACACTGGACTCGCACAGGTAATTCAAATTTAAAAATCTAAATTAATATTACATTTCTAAAGTAATCTATGTTTTTGACATAAACTAAAAAAAAAACAAAAGTAAGTCAAGCTACCTTTTAGGTATCTGTAAAATTAGTTTCATGACACTGATAAAATCCGTTGATCCGTCCGATTTCATTCTTAAGTCAGCACATTAGGGTTGAAATTAACATAATAATTATGCTTACTATAGAAAGAAGAAAGAAAGAAAAATTGTTAATTTGTACACCGTCACAAAGTACAATAACACACAAAATACATTAAACAGTGAGGACGGCGCAAAAAGGCCAGAGCTCTGCTTAAATGCCGTGACCCGAGTGCGCTCGAATCGCGGCGCTGATTTTCAGCACTTGCCCGTAGCTATAATAATGTAATACATATAATAGATGTACTATGTAATAATGTAATACATATAATAGATGTATGACCAAAAAAATTATAAAAAAATATTTATTACTAGCTGACCCGGCAAACTTCGTACCGCCTAAAAAATATTTTTCTCACCTTATAAACCTTCCCTGCACTTCCACGAACATTTCAAGACCAAAATTAGCCAAATGGGTCCAGCTGTTCTCAAGTTAGCGAGACTAACGAACGGTAATTCATTTTAATTTATATAGATATAGAAGAAGTAGGTTCTCATTATAAATAAAATAACAAAGTTGTTCATTCACCAGCTCCAACGCATAGTGTCTCGCTGCGCATGCGAGTTCTACTACGTGTCGCACGAGGAGGCCGAGTCCGCGGGGCAGGGCGCCGGCTGGGACCAGCAACAACCGTACGACTCCTTCACGCTCATGCACCATGACCTCAACGTCTGCACCAACTCGCTGCAGGTAAGCTCGTGTCGAATGTCAAGGAGTATACTATTGTTTTCCTGTATAAAATATATTAGAGTCATAATTTTTAAATTAAACCCACAAGATATTTTATTATACACCATGTTTATAGTTGTAGGTAAAATATGTTTTTCTATTGCACTGTGATGATCTTGTTATTAAAAAATTGTGTGATGTTTTCTAATTTCAAAAAATAAGTATTGTGTAACTTGACTTGCCACCATAAATTTTTTTCGACCATTTGTACTTTTTCTTTCGAATCACGCTTTGTATTTTGTCTATCGACGGTGGCCGATCAGCGCCGGTCATTTATCCTTAGTTTATCCTTTGGCTTCTTATCGCGCAAAAACTTATTTGGAACGTTTCCTCCCTGACAGTACGCGATGTTACTAGATGTAGTAAACAACGTAGTACTCCACGTCGAGCCGGAGCGGCGACGTACATTGGAGCGGCGCGCACGTATGAGGTTCCAACTACAACTGCATCAGGACCAGGACCCCAGGCAACTTATACATAAACTGCAGACACAGGTATGTATAATAAAATATAATAAAACTTGCGACCCGCCCCAGCTTCGCACGGGTGCAATATGCATGTATTATACATATAAACCTTCCTTAAGAATCACTCTATTTATTAAAGAAAACCAAATGAAAATCCGTTGCGTAGTTTTAAAAATCTAAGCATACATAGGAACAGACAGGCGGCGAGCGACTTAGTTTTAAGTGATGAGAGGCTGATGCCCAATTTTCGAATAAACAAAAAGATTAAAAAAGGCTTTTATTACTTTGTGTTGGTGCTGAGCCGTCACTTTTATGTAGTCTTACATGCAGTTGGCATCTACTGAAATACTTGCGTTTTTAGCAATTATACAAGCATTGGGAAATCAGACAAAGTCATCTTTCTTTGCATTTTACTATTCTTGATAGTGCTTAATATAATTTTATAAATTATATCCACAAAATACATACCCGTGCCTTATTGCGAAAATAGAAGGGGCATGAGATCAAAATTCTAAATAAAATCATACAAAAATATAGTAAATATTCTCAAAAAGTAAAGAAATATATAGAAAAAGAGTTTTCTTAATAATCAAAATATTTACAAAAAGAATCTCTCCGGCGGGGAATCGAACCCCGGTCTCCCGCGTGACAGGCGGGGATACTGACCACTATACTACCGAAGATGTTGAGTGAGGTGTCGAAATAACGGCTCGTATTGTGCGAAGAATATGACTAATCGAATGGAGTCATACATACTAGATAACTATTGTAATATTATTAATACTGAAACCTTAATTAAATAATGAATAAAGGTGTTTTGTACAGTGTTCTATGTGTGACTCATAGTTATTGTAAGAATTAATTTCATTAATCGAATTCTTATCATATAATTTCGTAGACTTTAGTTAGAAACAGGAAATTGAGTTCATATTATCGATTTATTAGAAATGTTTACTGAATTTATGCTATTTTTATTTGCAGGGGATTAAGTGTGTATTGTTGTATTATAGTCCAATATGTTTTTTTATCAGTTAAGCGGCTCTGATTTTTACAGCATCGTTTTGTGTAGGCTACATTGGTAAACCCATTGTAGCCTACACAAAACTTCAGATGGCATACATAATTATGTACATACTTCATTTTAGTGCTAGTACTTTTTCAAATGTATTAAAATAAATACATAACATAATAACACGCCTTTTATCTCTGAAGCGTTAGGCAGAGGTGCACATTAGTACAATGTAACACCCACATTTCACTATTTATGTTATGAGTACCACGTAATAGGGGGTGAGCCTATTGCTATATACCGGGCAAATTTCCACACTCCGTGCTAATACTGAGATTTTAAAAGAAACCAGTAATACTTTGCCCGGGAATCGAACCCGAAACCCCTTACCGGCAGTAGCACCTGCAACTACTCGGCCAACGAGGCAGTCAGCTGTGTATTTCAGATGTCGTAAATATGTAGTTAATTTCACTAAACTAAAGAGAGAAATACCTTTGTCGCCTATAAATTCCATATTCTTACTGATATAATATCATTAGAAATTATTTGTAATAGGTGAGGGAGTCCCTAGCAAGACTTCGAAGACTGGAGAAGGAATATTACCTCAAGAACAGGTCGATGACAGGGAACGATCCTGCTGCCATGGACGAACTGAAGAGTTTGGATGATCAGGTGAGCTGGTGTTATCTATACCTGTTTCATATATATTTTTTTATTAAATACTTAAATATATAATTTCATTATGTCATGTTTTGGTAGTTTTCGTCAGGAAAATTATTAACTTTATTGCAATAGTGATTAAAGACTCTTTTGCCAAACTTTGCTTTTTATCTAAATTAGATATAGATATACGTAATAATGATATATATATATATATATATAAATTCGATATATGTAATAATTGAAGGCTTTTAAATTCTTATTATTATCTATCATAGGAAGTTAATGAAACTTTTTTGTGCATGTGTAGTGTTGGTTGTGTACTGGTTATTCGTTTTGTTCATCATTTTTTGTTATTGATCTTATTTTGTTAATTAAGTCCGTTCGCATGTTGACAATATCTAGAATATAAGGAAAGCCTATTATTAGCCTATAATTCACGCAAACTATTGTAAACTATGTCTAACGCTTTTGGTTTTCTAAATAAATAAAATAAAATAAAATTTAATTCTTTATCCCTGAGAGAGCCAACCATATTAATAAGATAAAGTTCATTCATCCAACATCCCTCATATATTGTCCAGGTGAACGAGTGCAAGGAGCTGGTGTGGTCCCTGGGCGAGGAGCTGGACGCGATGGTCCGCGCGTGGCGCGAGGCGGGCCGCGTGGCCGCGCCGGCCGTGCGCGCTGCGCATGCGCCGCCGCACAGGTACAACGAGATCTGCTTCAAGTCCGCGCGCTGGAGGCTCACTGACGCCGACGGACAGCTCGGGATTGCTGATCTGCTGCTAACTAACTTCTTGTAAGTGATCAGAAACTATATGACCTAGAACCTGGAAAACGTCCTACGTTGGACAAAGGCTCTTACGTTAAAAAGTTTAAAAATAAAATAAGTTTAAAAATATTATGAAACATCTCGTTGTTATGTGGTATTCTGATGTAATAACCATTTTGACATCACACAAATCCTAAAACACTACTTTTGATATTAGCCATTTTAAGCTACAAGACCAATTATCATCATCATCATCGTATTAGCCACAAGACGTCCACTGCTGAACATAGGCCTCCCTCAATGACTTCCATATAGATTCAAAACCAATAAAACATTCATTTTATCCTTTTCTTTGCACCCAGGTACACAAAGACGTCTAGGTCGGATGACTCAGTGGAACATCAGCTGGAGGTCGGCTACGTCCGAGTTAAGAACTTGCTGCCCAACGAGCCGTTCCCAGAAGTGAGATACTTATCTTATGCATACATTATTAGTAAACCTTTAAATTATTGCATGTTTCATTGTGTTATATGATTAAAATACGAGTTCTTGAAAGATAATCAAGTAGCTAATGAGGTTTTGTTTGCATTAGTGATGTTTAAACTGTCAAACACCAAGCGGTCACCGGTGACCGCAACCTATTGTTCTTTAATTGTGTCTATAAAACCGGTACTCGACGAGTTAAAATGTTAAAACAGTTATATTTTTTCGGAACCCTAAAGTAAAATAAATGAGGGACTTAGTTTGACCGGTATATATGTTTGTGCGTGATTGTCTCGTGATTAGCTGAACCGATTTTGATGTGAAAAATAACATAACATCACGCCTTTTATCCTCGAAGAGGTAGGTAAAGGTGCACATTATGCCACTGTACAATGTAACACCCACTTTTCACTATTTATGTTATGAGTCCCATATAATAGGGGGTGAGCCTATTGCCATATACCGGGCACATTTCCAGACTCCGAGCTACTATACTTTGCCCGGTAATGAGGAAGTCAAGAAAAATTTTTGTTAGAAAAATGTTTTTTAGAAAAAAGTTTGTTGTAATTAGGAGAAGGTTGTAGTATATTGATTCACTGACTTCACAGAAGAGGGGGGTCAAGTTGCTTTTTTAAACGTTGTTTATAAAATAATTATATTAATATTATTCGAATTTATAAAGTGTACAAAAAGTATAATTAAATGATGAATGAATTTATTTATTTACGAAATGATTATAAAGTACTAGCGACCAGCCCCGGCTTCGCACAGATGCAATATGCATGTATTATACATATAAACCTTCCTTAAGAATCACTCTATCTATTAAAAACCACATCAAAATCCGTTGCGTAGCTTCAAAGATCTAAGCATACATAGGGACAGACAGACGGCGGATAGCGACTTGGTTTTATACTATGTATGTATATGTAGAGATAATGCATAGCTTTCAAATTATTGCAAATTCAGATGAATGTGGTTACTCTGATCTTAACCAATTGAGTAAAAATGTTGTAAAGGTAACATGACATTATTTTAAAGTATCAGATCAATGAGACAAAACATTTTTTTTATAAGAGTATCGATTACGTTTTTTGCTCGTTCTTCTCCATTCGAAACTACACTTTAGAACGAGCGCCTAGCTTCACTGACAGACAAACGAACGAACTAAATAAATTTTTGACATCAAAAATGCCTAATTAAGGATAAATTAAAATAAATTCTTGGACTTTAATTATTTTTGTAATTAAAAGGTTATATTATGTATTTTACATCACGCTATAACTATTGATGACTCGTAAACGGTTGCCAAAGAAAATAAAACACTATTGATGGCAGATGGTCACATATTTAACAATAAAGTTTAAATAAAATGTAATCTTTCCACATGAAATATAAGTATTATTATTTATCCCAGGTACTAGTCCCGCAAGAGCCGTCCGGTCGTGCGCCACTAGCTCGCCGCGCGGCGCTGCGTGTGTTCTGCAGGGACCGGCCGCCAGTCGGGGGCATTGCTGTCAAAGAACATTTTGAAGTCAACATCGTTCCTATTAAGATTGGTGAGTTTTTGTCAAGTTGCAAAGTTGAGACAGTTGAGACTCTTGAGACTGAGACAAAGCCTGACACCGAGCCTAAGACCAAAACCTAGGACGAAACAGATGTTAAGACCGAGACTGGGTCCAAGACTGAGATAGAGTGCGAGACCGAGGCTCAGACCGAGACTGAGGCCAAGGCCAAAACTGAGGCCTAGGCCGGACTTTCGGACAAATGAGGGAAATTGACAGGGTAGACTATTTTAAGAAAAAATTGTTTGACTTCCTGGTAAAAAGACCATATTATACATTACATGAATTTTTGTCTGACAGATTCGTTAACAGTTGAAACGCCATTTTATGTTTTGTTGCAAAATGAAATTAATACAGGTTTCTTTATTCAATCAGCATTTAATATTATAATGTACAGCTACTGCAATTTATACGTTTGTCACAAACTATTGTATGCCTAACATGGTGGAGCAGTGCCTGAACACAACAACCTTTAGAACAACCTTTGTAACCACTGTCTCACAATAAAGATCTTTGACTTTGACTTCGGAAATAACAGGGTTAATCTTGTGAAAGGTTTCGAATAAATATTAATAAATGTTTTATAACGACTATCCAAATATTACACCGTTTCGAATGTTACCAAAACAAAGTATTTCTATTATTAAACCTTAACTAATTCGGTATTCCATTAATATGTGTGTGTAACACGTTGCGCATGAGACGCTCCATTTGTATCACCTGAGCAAATATGGCGGCTATATAAATAAAGCAGATGCACTTGAATGAAAAGAGACTTTGTAACTAAAACACAAGGTTTACTTTCATCATTTATGATAATGTTAATTTCTATGACTTATGTCTATAATTTATATGTCTACGACTTAACATTATATTATTTCCGGTACATATAAAAGTGCAAAGTCTTTTTAATTCTTTTACTTCCGGCTCGACCGGAGTGATACTGACGTGGAACAACTGGTAACTTATCCCCCCCCCAATCTCCCCCAATCCCTGAAACCCCAACAATCATCAAATTCCTAATCCCCAAAGGATTGCTTACCATCAGGTGATCAGTCTGTTTGTTTACCGGCTTATCCCATAACAAAAAAAATATATGAAAGTTGAATAGATTTTACTAGTGAAAAGTTTACAAAACTGGAAAGCTCAATTTCGTTTTGTTTCACCCATGACATTTACATTAAACTTTATGAATAGGATACAGTCGTGCGTTCTTGATATCAGTAAAAATGTTCAATAATAGCAATTTCGAAATTCACACAATCCTTTCCACCAGGTCTAACGAAGAAGTTCTTCAACACAATGCTTAAGTTCTGCTTTCCTGAGCGAGACCCTGACTCGATAGAGGATGGTGAGGAAGAAACAGAAGGGACACTCAAAGCCGGAGCCTCCTCCTCTAGCCTCGTCTCTACCGGCTCTAAGAAGATCAAGAAGAAGAGCAAAGATTCCAATTCTAACTTCTATGTGAAGAGAGATAAGAAGGATAAAGATGATGTTGAGAAGATGAAGGTTTGTGTTTTAGATATTGTGGTTTTAGTTCGCTGTGGGTGGCGTTGGTGTAGTTTTAAGTCTTGTTGGTACTATTATTGTGCAGGGGTTACTTATTTGGTGTAAGTGAATAGTTTGCAGGTCCAAAAAAATCTTACTTATTGAACGATGCACTTAAACATATTGAATTCTAAATGAATTAAAAACTGCGGGTTACTCACGTGAATATGTCGCCGCGACCGCGCACGGTGCTCATGAGCAAGAGCTCCTCTGTGGCTCGAAACTAGTAGAGCTTTTCTCAGTATATTCACGTGAGTAACCCGCAATGTTTTAGTTAATTTAGTATGTCCCACGATAGTTATTATAAAAGCATTGTAAAATTCTTTTAGGATTCATACTGCAACAAGTTTTTCCAACTTGACTGCCAATAGAAAACTGATGAAGGCAAATCCTCCAATAACGTCGGTCACCGGTGACCCCCACGGCGTTTAATGTGTTAACTTTTGACTTACTTTTCACTTTTGACTTTTGATTTTTTAAATACAGCAACTGTTTTCCGTTTAAACTGTCAAACACCAAGCGGTCACCGGTGACCGCAACCTATTGTTCTTAAATTGTGTCTATAAATACGGTACTCGACGAGTTAATGGTTTATTACCCTATATTTTTGTTTGATTTGGTATTTAGAAATAACTTTTCTGCAAGTTTTGCGCTGTTCGAAAATTACCTTCATTACTTACGTATTTTATTCAAATTACAACGTGATCTCAATTACAATTGTTTATATATAGGAGCGAGCAGAAAAGAACAAGCTGTTCATCTACATAAAGATCCCAGAGGTACCAGTGAGGGTTTCCTACAAGGGAAGCAAGGAGAAGAACCTCGAGGATGTAAGGGACCTACCACTGGTACTTCCTACGCTGGAGTACCACAATGTGACGTGGACTTGGCTGGACTTGTTACTGGCTACTAAGAGTGATACTAGACGGTGAGTTTGGGAAAATGTTAAGTTGTTATTTTGTAGATTTGTGATGATGGTAACATAGGTTTTTATTGTAGGATTTAAAAACAGTCAGTACAATACATGGTACTCCCTCATTTACATAGCTATAATTTGACCTTATTGCACGCTTTTTTTCATACGCGGCACACTCCCAGACATAGTGCTGTTATTAAGCTAATTATTGAAAAACAAATTATGCATAATTTTTGAAAAACCAAATATGTCATAACATCGCGCCTTTTATCTCCGAAGGGTTAGGTAGAGGTGCACATTACGGCACTTAATGTCACTGTACAATGTAACACCCACTTTTCACTAATTATATTATGTAATAAGTGGTCCCATGTAATAGGGGGTGAGCCTATTCCAATATACCGGGCACAATTCCAGACTCCGAGCTACTACTGAGATCTTTTTTAAAACTCATTAGTACTTTGCTCGGGAATCGAACCCGGGACCCCTTGCCCGGCAGTCGCACTTGCTCAACTCATACTTGACAAAAGTATAAAAAGAGAGTAAATGTAGTGACGAATACTTTTGAATATTATAAGGACTGAATCGCCCAAACACGTTTTTACTCTTATCTCTTTTATTACAAGGTCCTATTTATTTTGCACGGAAACTATATACCGACTGATGTCACTGGCCGTGCCATTGACTTTTTCAATCGTCAACACTTGAATGATTCTATTGTACATTACATCTTAAAATAGAAATTACATAAACGGTGACGTTTTGCTATATTGGTATATTACGCTGCGCTACCAATATTCTTTAACTAGCTTTTGTTCGCGGCTTCGCTCGCGCTTTTTCAAGGGGTTAGGGAAAGATTAATAAAAAAAAAAATGCATTTTTTTTTTATTAGTCAATAAACAATCATTGATTATTATGTGGACTACCGCATACTAATTTTAAACTGTCTTCCTTGAAAATTGCGTAATACTCCATACAAACTTTTACCCCCCATTTCAGAAGTCTGTGTTAGAAAGAGACAAAAAGTCAGAAACGTCACTGCGTAGCTCAGTTTTCCCGTGAAAGATGGACAAACAAACAGACACACACACTGTCACGTTTAAAATATTAGTGTGAATATTGGTTGACGTCGTATCACGTCAGCTGTGTGAATCATGTTGTATTTTACCATTTGTGTCGAAATATTTGTTGTTAATATGTCAACACCTAAAATGACGAATATTTGTTGAATGCATTTTCTGATTCATTATGAGTTATGAGGTGTATACTAATGAAACCATATATGGTAGCATCCCTCAGGGTCCAAGTAAGCATAGGTTTTAACCAATTGGGTACTTACCTTAATCAAAAATAAATTATTTCGACTGTTCCATACAATAAAATATTAAAAAATAATCACACTTTCATTAATAGATTTTATGACTAACTTAGTTTTAGTATTACCAGCTAATTTTAAGAAATAAGTACTCTGTGTGACGTTAAAAAACGTGACGTCACAGTACACAATCTCGTACAAAATTCATAGAAAACTCTCGTTTTTGACAGTTTGAAAAAAGTAATGAATTTGACTAGTTGGTAAGTACCTAATTATGTTATTAACCATCTTGAATCTGGGTAAGGTTGTAGTAAATAACAGTCCAATACCAGATAGTTACATAAGCTACGTTATAGTGTAAATAGGTATACTTTTTATAAAGGTTTTTTGTGTTTCTCGCTATAGACGAGGCGAGAGGGAGTGTCAGACTCTTAGTAATCATAAACCACCCCTTACAAATCCTGCTCCGAGGCGGGGCCACGGCCACGGTACTTATATGGCGACGTACTCGTGAATCTGGCAGGGTTTATCAACGCCTTTGAGAATTTAAATCCTCAGGACATGAATAGTATAGTCTTCTCAACAAAGATTCATCAAATCTCCTTTTTACACAGGGTGATATTATCGCAAGCTATAAGACAGAAGCTGCAGCTGCACAGACGCGCTGCTGCGGCACCAGAGCCGCACGAGGAGGATAAAGCCAGGTTACTGCTGGGAGAGAGGACGGTGAGTTACTTTGATCGTTTCAATAGGATGTCATGCTGGAATTATACGACATTAAACTTGTCATGTTAAAATGTGACATATGTAAATACAATGAATTTTTTTGGCAAATTTTTGTCAAGTTATCCGCCAAGTATTCCAATTAATCTGTCAAACACCGCGAGGACACCGGTGATCGCAACCTATTGTTCTTTAATTGTGTCTATAATGACGGTACTCAAAGAGTTAAACAGCTATGATGTTAATACCAATTGATTTAAACTAGCAACAAACTGCAATGCCTTTAAATATTCTTTGCCCAGTGTTAAAGTATTTGGAGCATATATTTTTTAAACAAAACATACCTTGAGTTGTGGGTTCCAAGAGGATTGTTTATAAGGAGGATCTTTTCCTTATTCTGATAAGTATACTCCTTTCTAGGTGGCGGAAAATAAACCACAGAAGAAAAGTACTCCCAGCGTGTTCAAATTCTCCAAATCATAGCGTAAGTGAAGGATGTACTTTATAGAGCGGCATTTATCTACGAACCAAACGTATTGACTGTCGCTTGAATGCCTAAATGCAATTTTGAAATGGTTTTAAATTACGTGCGATGTTCAATGGGGGGGGAGGGGGTAGACTCAAATCTCATCTAATCTTACGTTGGAGAGATCTCGGCAAATATCACGTATTTTTTTTCTGATAGAAACAAAAAAATATATCATTTTAGTTCATTTATTTCAGATTGCAGACATGCTTAAGATTTAATTTTACATGCACATTGATTTTTTCTTTTTGCAATAACAATCCAACGCGTTTACGTGAAAAACCAACATTTTGAAAAATCTCACGTGATATTAGGGGATGTGGGAGGGTGTTGAATGTTGAATAAAATCTCACGAAATCTCACCAAGGGGGGTGGGAGGGACAGACAAAAAAAACACCCCAAGGAATTTATGGACGCCCCCTTAAAAGTTCGCTATAAAATGTGATGAACGATAAACAAGCGAATGAAATAACACTGTAAGGGCAGAATAGACCTCGAAGTATTCATTTGTACTAAGAATTTAAAGAAGACTATTTCTTACTTACCTCCAGGTAAGTAAGCTTTTTCTTTCATAAAAGAATTCGTGACATTAAGTAAAATCAATTATAAATTAACAACAAAATTATTATTGCGTTTAGGTGTTCAAGCGAAAATTTTAAGACATTCTATACTGTTTTATGAGGCTAATATTCTTATAAATGTATACGCTACTATACGGTGTAATGGATGTTTGGATGTTTGTGTCAATTTTATCAATGTAACGTGAACAAACTATTGTAATCTAACTTTTTAACTGTTTTAAATGTGGTTTTAAAGGATCTGATTTTGGAAAATATATCAGTATTGTATTGAGATGAAATTTTAAAACGATATTACAATGCGCATCATATTTTTATATGCGCAAACAGTTTGCGCAAAATGTAGCATTTTTAGCGCTTATTTGCACTGTAAACTATGTTTTAGCTTTGTTGTTATCTGCACTGGCGCTGTTAAAATTTTGCGCAATCGCTATATCAACTCTATAGTATCATTTTAAATGAAGTTTTTTGTAGCGCAAAATAAGTATTAATTCATAAAGAAAATTATATAAAATTGCTCAGTAATATCAATATTTTGAAGGATACGCATGAAAACACCTTGTTTTCGGTCAATTTAGCTGCTTTTTTGCAATTTAACTTCACACTCTAACCCATAGGAGTAAGAGAGATAGAAAACTTTGCCAAAAGTAAGACTGTTGTGATCTTCATACATGTAGGATCTGCTAATGTATTATTAATTTAAATTCTCATACAGTATGATCTAATTTCGTTTGTCGCAGATTTTTGAACAAAGCAACTCAAAGATTTTAAAAATGAATTAGTACTTTTTGTTTTTTTTTTGTATTATGGTACTATGACTGTTTTATAAGTCACTCATTGGTAAAATGTAGCTAGGTTATGCAATTTTGAAAAAGAATTAGGTACCGTAAAATGGGGTGAATAGGGATCGAGATGTGAATAGGGATAGAAAAGGGGTGAATTGATACTACGAAAAATTTCCTAATATCCATTCACCCTTCTTCTCGTCTCTATTCACCTCTCCTCTCGATCCCCATTTGACCCCATTTTACCCGAAAAATGGGGTGAATAGGGACAGAAGAGGGGTGAATAGATATAAGGAAATTCTTCATAGTATCGATTCACCCCTGTTCTGTCTCTTTTAGCCGCTCAAACCCTATTCACCCCATTTTACCGTATATAAAAATCAACCATAAATGTATTTTTTACAAGTAATGAAGTTTACTTGTTTACTTACCCGTTTTTAAAACAGAAAACCGTGTTGTTATAATATCATGGTTTATTGTAAGTACTACAGAAAATGGATGAAATTCTTTGTTATATTTTTTTTTTGCTTAGAGTGAACCTATTGACTTATTATTATTATGTTTTAGTTTAAGTAAAAGTGAGCACCATATACACTATTGTATTATATGCTTTTATTTATTGTATTGCGAGCTGTATATGAGATGGGTAGACAGAACTATAAATTCTGATCGCAAGTCATTCACATAATACACAGATCTAATTTTGTTTAGCTTTTAAGGTGTATAGTATGACGAACAATCATACACGTAAGTGTGGGAGAGCCATGCTTTGGCACGAATGGGCCGGCTCGACCGGAGTGATACGACGGCCTCACAGAAAACCGACGTGAAGCAACGCTTGCGTTGTGTCTCGTCGTGTGAGTGAGGTTACCGGAGGCACAATTACCCCTTCCCCAATCTCCCCAATCCCTGAATCCCCAACGACCCTCAAACTCCTAATCCCCAAAAAGCCGGTAACGCACTTGTAACGCCTCTGGTGTTCCAGGTGTCCATGGGCGACGCCGATTGTGTACCATCAGGTGATCCGTCTGCTCGTTTACCGGCTTATGCCATAAAAAATGTGCTTATTTAGATAATGTTTAACTGTCCCGTAATTATTATGTTTTCGGCTTACTCACGTAACTGTTAGTCGTGGAATTGGACTAGTTTCTACCCATGAATATGAGCCTCTAGCATGGCTTGAAACTAGTCGAGGTCCTCGTCAAATAGTTACGTGAGTAAGCCGAAAACATAATAATTAATTTAGTATGTCTCACGAAAGTTTTAATTTGTACCATGAACGTTTTGTTTTGGTCTATTCATTCAGAACTTCAATACATTATTCCAATTCACTTATTAAGAAATTGATCATTGCGTTATTTATTAAATTAAACTTAAACCGGATTAGGCACTTAATGAATGACCCATGATTTGCATAAGTGGTTGCCCTGAACTTGTGCTAAGTGGGTTATCTACTAATTATAAATCGTTAATTCATCATTCCATCATTAGTGGAGTTTGGTATTTAAATTAATAATCTTTCAAATGAAAGTAGCAGGATCAAATAGTAATAAGTTTTTAAGAGTAATTAAATATTAGATTCTATAGTTCTGTCTACCACATTTAAATGAACTTGAATACATACATATTATACCTACAGCCTCGTAATTATGAATTAAATATATAATTCGAAAGATATTAAGCGTAAAAAGACATTTACACCCTATGTTCATAATGAGATAATTAAAATGAGTATGATCGCCTTGGAATTGTTTTTCAATATGATTATTAAGTTTCCAAATCTACATTATTTTAACTACATCTACACTAATAGTATAAAGAGGAAAGATTTGACTTTTTGTTTGTTTGTTTGAATTGAATCTGCTCCGAAACTACCAGACCCATTTGAAAAATTCTTTTAGCACTTGAATCTTATATTATCGATGATGAACATAGGCTATATTTAATAATATAAAAAGAGAAAACCGTGTGAATATTCCGGTAATGTAACCCAATGTGTGAATAAACTACCAAATTCCAAATCTACATTATTTTATTATGTACCTCTATAAAGAACGACCAAGGATTATCGACCAAAATTAATAACTGATTGTAATATGTCTGTCCTTGGTATTTAAAAGAATTTTAATGGAACTAATGTCAAGAATGTTATTCAGTGCTTTTTTTTTTCTCCTTTTATAATATCTTCTGATTCATTTCGTTGCGGGAATCAAGACAGTTATTCATGTCCCTGGGACGCGCCGGACTTCAGTGTTCCGGTTTTTTCATGGTTGTATCTACTGTAGATCCTGGCTTAGACGAGTTGCAGCGGTTTTAGGTGGTAGTGGCGGGCTTGTCTCATAAAAAATGTTATTCAATCTATTTGTATTGTGATCCGTTATTGATTTTGGCTATAAATGAAATGTTTGTTTGATAAAGCGACCCAAAATTTAATTAGAATTAAGTTTATGTATTATTTATTTTTTATTAACACATGCGGTTTAAAGTATGTAATGTAAACTATTGTTATTAGTTAAATTGGTTTAGAAATTCTAAAAGACATTTCGAAATGTGTAAAAGTGTTATTTTAGTTTCAATGTTAAGGATTTATTTAATAAGGTAGTTTCCTAAATTTTATTTTAATATCTGTCTGGAACATTAATTTAAAACTTTAGACACGTATTTTTTCTTTTCTCACAAAATTAAATACTTTTGACGATATATTAATTTGAAATATCGTGTGACGTCATAGAGTGCCACATTTTGTTATGACGTAACAACCTCCCACTCCTAAACTTAGCGCCATTTTATCTAAGTATTGCAACTTAATACGAGAAAATAAAAAAATACCGTGTCTAATATTTTTTCATTATCTAACTGACGGACTAATCAGATTTTTAATTTGGATACCCTGGAAACTACCCAATTGTTTATGTTTAAATTTGAATCTTTGTTTTTTTATTGAACATGTTTGGAAACGTCTGCCCAATTCGACAAGGAATCATTTATAATCAGATATTGGTAATATTCCAGTCTCTCCGTAGCTAAGATGAAATTCAAATGGTTTATTCGCCTTAATTTAAACCTTAATGTAATGTAAACATTGAAATGTGATTGATAAAAATATTGTATCTTTTGAATTAGGTAGAGATTTTGTAACTTATTTTTAAAGTTTTTTTTTAAATGTCGCATTATTTTGAAACCACAATGAAGTGAGATAGGGGTAAGCAGAAATATGTTTATGGTTAAAGAAATAATTATTTCGAATCTGTTTATATAAATCAAATTTAATATAATATAATATGTTGTAAGCACAAACGCTAGAAGTACTGCATTCAGTATTGTATATTTTTCGTTGTAAGCGTAAATTTTATATACTTCCAAATGTAGGTAGCAATATATCAGCAATTTATAGACAACGTACGAGATTTGTATCGTATTATGTATTTGTTAATAAATGTTGTAAATATGTATTGCATTGGTTTTCATTTTGTATTTTTTTTCTAAGAAATGATTATGTTATGTGGTGGTCTTTTAACCTTATGTAAGTACTTAGATTCTTCTTTAAAAATTAAAGGAAAATTGTTGAATTCATAATTGTTTTGATACTGCAAAGGAAAAATATTTAGAACAAATAGCGACATCTTTCATAGAACATTAATCACTATTCATTCTATTTTAACAAGTCCGTGACCGAATTAGCTTTACACATAAACAAAA